AAAAAAAAAAAAAAAAAAAAAAAAAAAAAACAAAAACTGAGGTTTGAGTAATAAAGAGATATGAAGAAATAGGCCAGTCAGCAATGAAATACTTCAGTAATAGCATAAGAAAAAACGGTTTCAGGATGTGATCAGAGAAGGTGAAAATAAAAAGATTTTGTTGATTTTGGCAGGAGCTATTTTAGTGCACGGTGAAAGCCCAATTGTATTTTGTTGAAAAATGAATTAAATATCTGAGAACTTTTTTTAAAGTTACACCATGGAGTAAATTTTGAAAGACTGATCTTGAGCTTGTTTTTCTAGAAAGGACCTGTGGAAAATGGAAGTTTTTGTTTATATGTTTGAAGTTTTAGTTAAAGGACAAATGCACATCAAAAAGGATCAAAACGGTACTTACATTTTTTAAAAATGGATGGGATGAAGTTTGAGGAAAAAGCAGCTCAAATAAATTCAAACCTGATAACCTTTATTAGTCAAAATGGTAGAGAAATAGAATAGATACAGGAAAGCTTTAGACAGTGGTAAGACTTGAAAATACTGCCGTAAGGAAAAAGAACTGGCACATCATGGGATTCCAGATACTAAATGAAGTTGAAATCCAGGCTCCAATGTACTCACATGTGATTTTCCATCTCTTAAGTTGAGGCTACTTTTGTATTTTTCTCCTTTTCAATTTATAATTGAAATGTTTGTCTTTTTGAAGGGTTTACTTAAAAATTTTTAACCAACAGTAACCTTTTTTGGTTATATAGATTTTTATTTAGTATCTACCTTGTAATTTTTTTTATCTTTGCAATAGGTTTTCCGAAATTCTCTGTATCCACTAGATTATCCATCTCGTTTAGATATTGTAAAAGCAAATTCAAAGTCACCTCTTCAGCGATCATTGTCAGCTAAGGGTGTATCTGGAACAGGACAGGTGAGCTAAAAACCATAACTTAAAGGAATATGAGCTGCTGCTTTTGGAATTCAGTACAATTAAAAATGTTTCTCTTTAGTCATAGGCTCTCTAGACCTTTTCCCTCTTCTGTAAAATGATGAACAACAGCTGCACTCCATCATTTCTTATCTGTTACGCTATAATCACAAATTATTCCCTTAAGTAGAATACTTGAAAGAAGTGGAAAAGACAGAATGCTAACGTAGATTTGTTGTCTGGTAAATGCAAGAGCATAGATTTGAGGAGTCAAACAAATTGTTATATTACTATCTTAGGAGATCTATCCAGAAATTGTACCTAAGACTCACTTTTTAAAAAATACTTTTATTTTACAGTGTCATAGATGTAGGAGCACAGCTCTTTACAAGTAATTTTCTCATTTCTTTTATATCCAGAAAGCCTGAGGCAGGCTGAACTATAACGTTCCAAATGTTACCTAACATTGGTATACCACTTGAGAATAAATTATCCTGGGGTTTTCCAACTTCATTGCTATTGAACCTGGACCAGGTCCCTTGGGGAGGGGAGTATGCTGTCCTGTAGAGCACTGAGCAGCATCCCTAGCTTCTATGCCAGTAGCACACATACAGTTGTGACAACCACCAGTGCTTCCAGACATTGTCAGATGTCTCAAGAATATACCTTAAAAAGGGGAGTTGTATCCTTGGGTTTGAAGCAAGATACGCCAAGTGCACAGAACACAAAGCTGGTGAATTAATATTTTTTACTTTCAATTTAAAGCAGAGTATGTTTATGTAAGTATTTCTATTCTACTGCTTAGGTAAAATATCCTTCTGTTTTTGCCATCCAATGATTCTCATTCAAATACTGTTTTTGCAACCAAAAACTTAACATTTTAACATTCATAATATACTGAGACTTATTTTATGTTACTGAAGTACTGGTAGCTAGCTACTGGAATCACATGTTTAATGTTACATATATATGAATGAAAAAAATTGAGAAGTTTGTAACCTTAAAATACAATAATCCATAGGGAATTTTCATTGCTAAAAATTATGTGTGGACATTTTTCTGAAATATTTTTTCTATGTGCCTTTTCCTATTAGGATATAAAAAAGATACCAAGCACATAAAAATAATTTTAAGGTAGTACTTTTTATTTTTTAAAATGTGTTAATTTTTAACAGGTATCTACCTGTCGATTAAGAAAGGATCAACATGCAGAAGATGATGAAGATGAAGAGGCAGACTTTACAGAAGAAGAAAATTAATTTTAATTTCCCCATGTCCATTTTCATCTTAAATGACTTGAAAACTTTATACTCACTTGATAAGTTAAACCTCAAAACAAAACCCTACCATAAATGCAAAAATAAAGGAAATTTATGCTGACCAAAAATTAAGTTTTTAAAAAAGTATTACATTTCAACATCCTATTGGTATGCGATTTTATGTAAGTAAGTTCCATTTTTTAAAAAAAGGATAATATATTTCAAAGCATTTCATAATGCACTGAGTTGCAATAAGAATTTAACTAAAAACAGAAGATTTAATAATTTCTTAACTTGACATTAAGACTCCATATTTTCAATATCAGGAAAGGTCTAATTGCATACAAATTCTATTCAATGGAACTTTTAAGACCTTTTTTCTTTCATACTTTTATTAAAAGCTTATTATTTCATTTGATATGTAAATTTACTGTTTTCAAGATGTATTCAAATATCAAGTTTTATAAATATACATAAAGCTTAAATTTTTAAAAAGCCACATTCAACTTGATTCTGGTTTTAAAACAAAAATGCTACATACTATATCACCTATGGTACTGTAACTTGGAAAGGTAGTAATCTTTCTAGATTACTAGAATATTGCCTCATTAATGAACAATAAATCATTAAAAACTAAAAATCTGGCCATAATAAATGTACAGTCACTCTTAATCCTAATCATATTAAACAATTTAGGCAAGAGCTGGGGATTTTAAGTGGTTCCACCACTTGCCTTGCAAGCACAAGGTCCTGAGTTCCATCCTGGACCAATCAGATATAGAAAAGCTGAAGTTTATAGTCATTTGGGATAACTGGAAAAAGCTACTATATTCACAACAGAAAAAGACTTTCTAAAAAGTATTTTTGACTTATCATCCATAGTTCTGTTTTTAACACAGTACTGCTTCCTGAGAAAAGTGCTAATTTTATAAAATATCAAAACTTAAAAACCATAAATAAGCTGCCACTTTAAGAAATGTTTTCATTTTCTCAGTATTTAAATCTGATGTTGAAGTTCAGAAGAAAAAAAAACGAGGCTATAGTATTTCTTTTGCTGCTTACAAAATGTAACTTCTCATAAGCAGCCTCTGTAAAACAGTACCTAATTCATTAAAAAAAAAATCAGTAAATAACTCTGGAATGAAACATGCTTTTCCTAACTCAAAGAAATATCCTAAGATTAAAAAAAAAAACTATCAATAAAAATAATTTCATCAATGTAAAACTTTCATCATTTAGAACAGATTTATTTACTTAAAAGGCCAGATAGTAAATATCCTACACTGTAGCCCAGGAAGGAAAATGAAGATTATTATATGGGTACTTATGTAACCACTTAAAATGTTACATTTTAAAACATGGAAACCATTCTTAGCTTCCCTGCTGGAAACAAACAAACAAAAGCAATTAACCCAACAGGTTACTTAGCCTGTGTATCTAACCACCACTTATCTCCAAAACAGGAATAAAATAAATTAGGATTATCAACATTAAGTGATGGTTCATATTTCAGACCATAAATATAAATTAGTATCTATTAGAACTCAACAAATAATATTTAAAGCAAAGACAGGCAACAGGTATACTGCTTACTAGGTAACAAGAGATACTGCTTTTAATATTCTGCATAAACTGATAGAATTTACTCCTTTCACCTAATTATCGCTTGATTATGGGATTATTTGCCACGCATTATGCAGTATTTTTCAGATACCTTCCAGACAAAAATGTTTGACTTTATGACAAAATGCATCAAGCTAAAGAGCCAGTACACTTTCATATCTGCAAGTAGAAGAAAAACAATTATTTAAGCCATATGGCAAGTACATGAAGATTTAGTACACTTTCTATGTGTTTAAAATTGTGGATACTGGTAAACTGATTGTGAGTGATGGAGGGGAAATGCCCTACAGTGCTGTATTTAACAATTTACACGTTCTACATACTCCCACCGTGGCCAACTTCTCGTCACAGTTGTTGGAAAGAGACATACAAAAATAGCCTCCAACCAGTAAAAGCCAGGTTAATATAATAAAGTTTTTGTGATAGTTAAAAAAATATTAAGTCCTAATATATTGTAGAATAAAATATTCATATCATTTTTAAATCAAAACACAGCTCGTTTACCGTAGATGGCCTCTTATCTATACCACCTCACTCATTTGAGAAGTAATCATCTATCTTAAGTGATACTTTAAGCTTCATCTTACCTTCCTATGTATTGTGTCTTAGAAGTGTTTATATCTTCCATCCATATCTAAAAGTTCAATCAAATGAACCATCTGTGTAATCTTAAAGCAACTATAAATACCTTTTCCTAACTTGCCACTCACTTCAGCACATCCTATATTCTCTAGGACTAGGGTGTATTGTTATTTTTCGTATTTTGTTTATTTTAAAGTTTTTACTCAGCTCAAACTAACTCTGCAGCACCAATTTCTCCCTTACTCTTACCTATTTTTCCTATCTCAATTAAATGTGAAACAATTATATTCCAAAGCTTATCATTCTCCGACCTTAAATTTACTAAAGATCCATAATGAGGTGTTTTTTAGAACCAAATATATACCAGTTTACTCCTACTAGGTAAGCAGTATACTGACTAGAAAATAAACAAAAACAAAAAAATTGAAGTAGGCTTCTTTTAGATTTCACTTAAAAGTTAAGATACTTATTATAGGGCCAGGGATTTAGCTCAGCAGCAGCACACCTGACTTGCAAGCATAAAGTCCTGAGTTCAATTCCCCCTACCAAAAAAAAAAAATTTAAATTTAAAAAATACTTATAGCATTAAGTACCAACAAAGTATTTTACTTCAGCAATCTCCTATTACTAAGTGACTGGAATTACCAAATAATTTCACTTTTAAGCCAGACCTGGTAGTATAAACCTATAACCCAGTACTCTGGGAGGCTGAGACAGAAGGCTAACAAATTTGAGCCCAGCCTAAGCAAATTAGCAAGACACCATTCTCAAAAAGGAAAAAAAAATGGTTTACTCTAACTCAGTGTGAGGAATCTATGAATCAAAGAATTGAGGAAAAATATATGTTCTATGCAAACTACAGACGGCCAAAATCCAATCATGTTGGATATAAAATGAACTCTGAATTCTAAGCCAATATCTAATGTATCCCTGGAGAAACCTTGGCAATATAAAAACTTTTAAAAGTCACCTTTTAACAATGTTTGAGCACCCTTGTTTTACTTCTCTGAATGGTGGATTTTAAAGTGAGAATAAAGGTAAGAAAGTTATCATTTACCCCTGAATATATTTTTAGCATGGTCTTCATTGAAAACACCTTTAATAAAGTGAGGCAGTATTATCAGCATGAACAGGAGAAAGTGGACTTTTAGGAGGCTTGAAATTGCCTCCATAACAACTGTGACTGAAGGCAAGTTGCTTCACTTCTCCAAAACTTCATTATCTCATATGTGAAACAGAAGTTAGTAAGTCCTTCACTGCTTAGCAAACACTGAGATCATACATATGAAGCACTTATAGTGCCTAGCACATAGTGCCTCATAAATGTGAACCATTTATATGACTGAATAAAGAAAATCTAATCCAGTATTTACAGATTTGATGCTAAAATCTCCTAAGAACTTAATCATAAGCATAACAAATTATAAAACTCATGGGTAAACTCCTAGAAAAGCAAACTATATCCACTTGTCACATTCTTCCCAGCATAAGCCTGAGTCTGCCCACACCCATAACTGCATTCTTAAGGTTTTGAAATTTTGCATTACCTGGTTACTAAAATGTTGAAGATTCCATGTAACTATACATTATGATGACAGAATAGTCCCTCCCATTATAAATTTAGTTTAATGTATTGTTGAAAAACTTAATACCCAGCTGCAATTTTTTCTTTTCATACAAATACAAGTTAATTAAGTCTATTCAGTTGCAATTTTTTATTTTTGTAAAATTTTGCAGTTATGAACATGAAAACTAAGAATTTCCTCAGCTTTTTACAAAATTTCAAAAGTTCACAGTCTGTCCATTTTGACTATTTATAATTAACAGATCTTAACACAAGTAATATCTCAGACAAGAGGGCATTAATTCTGCAAGCAGATAGCAATGAAAATGCCAAACCTCAACAATCGGCTCCTGACCATTTTCTTATACAGTTTAAGTAAAAGGTTTTGACTACATAAAGAAATAAAAAGGAATATAAAATGTTTCTTCCCCAAATACAACTCTAACAAGTCTTTGAGGTTTACCCATAACAGAAACAAAAATTAAGGAACTCAGGGAATTAGTTCCCAATGCCTTAATAAAGAAAAATACAGCATATGTAATTTTAAATTAGGGGAAAAATAATGAATGGCCATTTGTAAGCAAAAGAAAACTAAATGCACATTCTATTTACAGTTTTTCTATTCACAAGTCAAAATAAACATTTAAAAATAACACTTTTTAAAAAATGCATTTTACTGCATCAATACTGTGGGATGGTAAGTGAACTTAGAAATGCTCTCTAAAGCAAGATTAGCTTAACCTTCCTCGGACCAACTGGCCTATCGTTAAGATCTTTAATAGCAGCCATAGCTTCGTTATAGTTGATCATAGCAACAATGGCTTCCCCTGTAGGTAAACCTTGCTCATTATACTGTATTGAAACTGAGTCAGGTATGATTCTGTAACCATGAAAGAAATCTAAAATTTCATTTACATTTGCTTTAAATGGAAGATTCATTATCTTAACAGGAGTTACTCTACCTGAACCACAATTTAATTTGGGATCAGGCATAAATCTACCCTCAGGAAAACCTCCCATATTACGCTTTCCAAAATCAAACTTGCCACCTTCTGGGCGACCAAAATTCATGAAAGGACGATGACTCCTAAAATCCTCAGGTGGGCTCCTAAAATCCTCACCAGAAGGTCTCAAATTGTCAGGAAGTCTAGGATCCTCCTCTGGAACTTCTCTAAGGTCTTCTTCCTCAGGGAGCTGCCTAAAGTCCTCATCAGAAGGGCATCTAAAATCTTCTTCCTGGGAGCTCCTGAAGTCCTCATCAGGAGGGTGCCTAAAGTCTTCATCCAGAGGGCCCCTGAAGTCTTCATCTGGCATATGCCTGAAATCATCCTCTCGGGAACGCCTGAAATGCTCCTGGGGCGGTCGCCGGAAGTGCTCCTGGGGTGGCCGTCGGAAATACTCTGGGGGTGGCTGTCTAAAATGTTCAGGAGGGGGCCTTCTGAGGTGTTCTGATGGTGGTCGTCGGAAGTGATCCTGGGGCAGCCGTCTTATATGTTCCATGGGTGACCGCCTGAAATCTTCTTCAGGAGAATGCCTGAAATCCTCCTGGGGGAGCTTCCTGAAGTCCTCCTCCCTAAGGTGCCTGAAGTCATCATCTGGAGGGCACCTGAAGTCCTCCTTCCAAGGGCGCCTGAAATCCTCCTCTGGTGGCCCTCTGAAATCTCCCTCAAGGGACCTCCTGAAGTCCTCCTCAGGGGGCTGCCTAAAATCCTCCTCCGGTGGCCACCTCCAATCATCAAGAGGCCTTCTCCAGTCATCCTCCCGAGGGTGCCTGAAGTCATCTTCAGAAGGCCGTCTGAAGTGCTTCTCCCGAGAGTGCCTAAAGCTCTCTGGGGATCTCCTGAAGTCATCCGAAAGGAATCTGAAGTCCTCTGGAGAGTGCCGGAAGTCTTCTGGAGGGCGTCTATCAGGGTGTCGGAAATATCCCTGGGGATGCTTGAAGTTATCCTGTTGCCTCAAATCCTCTAGCTGATAACTAAAATTTTCAGAAGGGCCAACTGAGTAAACTGATAGATCTTTTGACTCAAACAAATGGGAATGGTCATCTATATCATGTGACTGTGAACGGGCTTGCATTTTCTCAGTAGACATCAAGGGAAAATTTACACCAAATTCCTGTATCTGTGCCTCAGATATAAGTCTCAATAATACCTCTGTTCCTAAGAATCTTCGTCGGTTTAAACGTTCAGCTTTCATGGCCTGTTCTTCTGATTTAAATTTTACCAATGCTTCTCCCAGACCAACTCCTTTGTCATCATAAAGCAGGTAAATGTCATCTTCAGCAAGAGAAAAGTCTGCAAAGAATTTCTGCACTTCAACTTTTGTAACATCAAATGGAAAATTTCTTATATATATGCACAGCTTCTGGCCAGAGTAGCCTTCTTGAGAGTATTTTTGTGAAACATGTCCAGACCTCTCTTTCTCTATTGACCCCAGTCTCTTCTTTTCATAACATTCAATGAACTTCAGCATCTGTTTTTTAGAAACTGGGTCAATATGAACTGGACGATGCTGCAAAATAGTCTTATGGAAACCCAGAGCAGTATTATAGTCTTTCAGAGTCTTGAAAGTCACAAAGGCGTATCTTGTTCTTTTTTCATCTTTATATAAGAACCTAATTTGTTCATTAGTCAGATCAATATCTCTAAAGAAACTTCTTAAATCTCTTTTGCTAACATTTAAGGACAGATTTTTTAAGTGAACATAAAATCCAACAGGGGAACGAGAACGTGTTCTTCTGGGAGATTTTGAATGAGACCGTTTTCGAAAATGTCTATCATTAACTCCTCTTGGAGGAGAATGTCCTTCAGCTCTCATAGAAATTTCACCCTTTTTAACCGCGTCTCCACCAAACTCAATCCACTGTTGTTCTGAGCCCTGCATTACTTCTATAAATCTTGAACCCATAAAACTTCTATGACATTTAAGACCTCCTGAAGCATCAATACATGAAGCAAATTTTACTATGGCATCACCATTATTTCGGCCATCATGATGTTTTAAGAAAATTACTCCATCCACACACAAACCAGAAAAAAAGACACGTACATCATCTTCATTTACTAAGTAAGGCAAACCTCGTAGAAATAAATAAGGATTCTCGGCCTTTGATGGCCTTGTCTTTCTTGGCCTTACATCATCAAGTCCTGTACCATTAGTGTGAAACCCAGCATCTTGGTTAACTGAAGAGCCATATCCAGAATTATTTTCATCTTCTTTCATGGCCTCAATATAATTAGATAGGCTGCCAACCCCTGATGCCCCAGATCCAGGTCGCCCTCTTCCTATACGATCAGTTCGTTTCATGTCTATAGTCTTCTGCATTTCTGCCTTGCTACTAAGAAACAGTTCTACAGATGAATCCTTGATAAACCCTCCTGAGCGACTTATGGCACGTCTTGCATCTTCATCTGTTGCAAAAATAATAAAAGCCTCCCCAATATCCCCTCCAATTATATGCACTCCTCCATCAGGAATAGTCAATCCCGTGAAGAAGTGACGAATATCCACTGGCCCCGCAATAAAAGGAAGCCCCAGTAAACGGATGACTACAGCCATGCTGAGCTCAAACCACAGCAATAATGACCTGCAGACAAAAAGGTACACATAATAGCAAGTCTTATTTTTGAAGTACCATAGCCCAAACTAAGCTTAATAATTATTTGGTTCCTGCTTCCTTCAGCATTTATAAATGAAAACAAGATACAAGTACACAAAAATAGTGATCTTATCTAATTCTTAAAGAAAACAAAGAATAAGCTTTCTCCCATCTAAATATACAAATAAACCAACTACCCTGAAAAACATTTCATATCACCCATTCTATACAATAAGGAACATCAAAAATATCAAATCTTCCTTTGTAAATCTGCCAAATGCTGCTTCACAACAAGACCAAACTACTTTCAGACTCATTTAAAACATGTATCTTACTGAAACATAAATGAGATTAAAGTCTTTTTACCAACCACAATAAAATTTACAAATTTAGAAAAGCCATCTATGGTCAGTATATCATTTCTGTTCATATTAAGTTGCCTATCACTAGTGCATCACTGGCCAGACATAAAGAACAAAAGCCATGAGTACCAGGATATACTAATCCATCTGATTTTTGTCAAGCCTCTGTGAAAAGCCTTAAGCTCTGGATGTCTTACCTTTTCTTTTTATTTCTTGGAGACCTGTTAATTCTGTAAAAGCAACTTAACTGTGGAAAGAAAATGAAATATAATTAATCTTTGAACCCTGTAATTATCTCAATACTCGATTAGGATATTCATTTCAGAATTACCTATCAAAAATGAAGCAACTTAAGATCCACAATTACAGGCATTACAAAATAGTCTTCTTTGATCCAAGAGGAAATCCATTATCCTTCTGCAAAAAGGAAGTACAAAATCCAAGTAGACATCTGCAAAGTATTAAAAAACTTTAAAAGTGCTGAAATGATACTACTCCTTATTGGAAGCAGCACGAAGAAAAGGCCTAGAGGGAAACGTTATGCACTCTGAATACTGTTGTGGTGCATAAATGTATGTATAAATTTATCAAAGCTCATTGAATTCTCTTAAGGTCTATGCATTTTGTTTATGTACAGAACTTTTACATCCTTTTCAAAAGTTTCACGATTAAATATCCACTTAAACACACCAGGTATATATTTAGAAAGACCTTCCAAAACTTCCTTCCTAGAAAATCCATACAGCTAGTTCATATTTACATCCAACTCTTTCCAGTTTCCTCCTTTTCAAAATATAAGACCATATCATATTAACAAAGCAACCATTCAAAATGCCTCAATGAATTAAAAACATCAAAGCTTGAAATTCCAATACATAAAAATTCCAATTTTTAAGCAACAAATCTAAGCCAGTGGCTACCATTTGCATTCAATTTTAAATTCTCAATATTCCCAACACTGAACCAAATTTCATGACTCCAGTACAATTAAGCCAAGTATTACAATACCCCTAAAATCAAATCTCAACACTACTCTTCATCTGATACTTTTAAAACAGTAATTCATCCCAAGCAAACCACAGAATGTTTTAGATAGAGATTCTTATGATGCCAAACTATACTGCACTCAACTGAAGAAATCCAAATAACAACGTAGAGAAGTGCAAATACAGTTAAAATTCGTCAACATGGAACACCGGCATTACCAACATTAACTACAGAAAAATGCAATGTAGTATTTTTTTAAAGAAAACTTCCATTGAAATACTTTCATGGATACTCAAGCTAACAATATGTAAGAAAAGTCCTATAAAATAATTGAGACCTGCCAAAACAATAATTAGTATGTTTTTAATGCTGCAAATAAATGGTGCTTTAGTTCACCATTCACAACTAATACCACAGTTCTACAAAGTGGAGTCTGAAGGCATACTCCTTGAGGTTTGAAGTTTTTCTTTTAGAAAAGGTCCACAGATTAAACTAAAAACTAAACTATCAAAAGCATCAAGTGACATCCAAAAAATATCTGCAAGCTACCCAAAAAAAGTTTAAACTTAATTTTTTCACAAACCAATATCCACACCTAACACTTCAACAAAAACTTTAAGTGGCTCCTGGAATACTCCTGCATCTTAAAACTCACAACTCTCATGTAAACCGTCTTAGCTATTTTTTTAACTTTTCAAATATCTTAGAAAGCAGCATAAGACATATGTTATTTTGTCTATTCTAGGCATTGTTTTAATTTGAAAAGTATTTATCGTTGAGAACATAAGCTCACCTACAGCAAAGCAAAGAGACATTTCAAGGAATAATTTACATGTAATTCAAAAAAATCTCCAGTAACATATTCTCCCTAACATAAAAACTAAGTATCTAAACTAAAAACTATCTTAACTAAGTTTTGTTAACACAAATCTCATGAATTCCAATTCAAGCCATTTTATTTATTTTTTTCTTTTTGAACCAGGGATTGAACTCAAGTCCTTGCACTTGAGAGGCAGGCAGTGGAACCACTGAGAAAGCTATTTAAAAAGGTAAATATAACTAATGCATAAACCTTTTTGCCCTCTAATAGTAATGTATCACTTACCCTCTACAACAACACATCCAGAATAGCTTTAGCTTTCAAAATGAGTAGGTACTTCTATAGTTCCAATATGCTATTTCCTTAAGCAAATTCTTCCAGAATTTCGAATCTTAACACATTATGTTACACAAAAAGCAAAACACAAACACACACAAAAGCAAATCCTGCCACAAAATTTTTCTAGTTTGAATGTATTTTTTGGTGCTATGTAAGTTTAAGAACACAGTGCTCCATTAGAACTATGAAAAAAGGAAGTGGATCCCTAAAAACTCATTTAAGGGTATGCGCATTTAAAATAACTTTGCTGTCCTTATTCAGTGATAATCCCACATTCACCGTCTTAACGAAACAATATGAAATGTGCATATTCTAATCAAGACTGAGAGGAAAACGGGAGACTGAATTTAAGAGTTATCTCAGATTCATTTGTCTTTAATAATTAGCAAGTAAAGTTATTTTCCAGAAACGGTGAGAATCCCTTTACTCTTTGCCTGTGACGTCTTGAAACCCAGTTATGATGAAGCATGTTCAAATTCTAAGTGTGAACTTCCCCTGCAAAAAATAACCTACCCCAGTCCAACATTATTCTTTCGGATGATCTGCCTTTTATAATGTAGATGGATAAAACAAAAACCAAAGGCAAAATGAAGACGAATCCACACGGCACAGGTTTTCCGCTTAAGATCCATCATCGTCGAACAGGAATCGTCCGAAGACATCGATTCTATGGCCCGAAGCCTTTGTCCACACTCCCAAGGGTCAGAGCTTCTTTCTTCTGCGCCAGGCCGAAGTTGCTACGTAGGATCCGATGCTGTCGCCAGACCTTCGGCCAAAATCAGCCTTCAAATTAACCAGAACCGCCCAACCTCCTGCCTCTCTGCAGCGCCGTCCCAAGGGCAAATGCTGCACCTTAATTCGCCATAGGGTCAGCGGGCCCCGAATCTAACTGAATCGCTTTCGCCCCTCTGAAGCCTAAAGATCCGGGCCTCCTGCCGACACTGACTACGATGACATAGCAAAGAAAAACAATACCTATGAAATCCTTCGGGCTCTTCACTGTCAAGATCACGGGGAAGCGCACACACACCACCACAAGGAGGCTGACGGGAGAGGGAGAGTCAAGTGTTTAGCGGGGAAACAGGGCGCCCTAACGGCAGCAGAGACGCCGGAGGCTGAGCGGCCGCCGGCCCCGCCTTTTCCCGTCCTTCCGCCCGGGCCGCCGGCCCCTCCCCACCCCCGACGCCCCGAGGGGAACTGCTCCGCACTCCGCGAGAAACACACACCGCTGCTGCCAAGCCAGACACCAGGCCAGGGGCTGGGTACTCCTCGACCGCAGCACAGTTAGAGCCTTTGGCGAGCCCGGAGGAAGATGGCGCCCACCCACCCCTCCCGTCCGGACAAACGGACGTACAGTTTGTCCGCCCATGCGCTCTCCTAGCGTAACCCACCACTCCCCGCGCTTCGGCCGCGCACGCGCCCGTTCGCCCAGGGGCCGTGGTTAGGAGAAGGGAGGCGGCGCTCTGGATTGGCTGAGCTTCTGCGCGTGCCCAGGTGGTAGCCAACCCGGGAGCCTCGATCTGGAGGTGCGCTTCAAAGGCCCAGTTAGGAGTCAACTGGTTGTTGTAGTTAAAATCTGCAGTAGATAAGTTAAAGTACACAGAACAAACGTTCGCGTTTTTCAGAAGTTGAAGAACGATTTGAAAAAATGAAAATGGATTTCTTTTTCAGTGCTGTAATCACTGTGTGGAGTAAGCATTTTCTGAAAAATTCTTGTAAACTAAAAGCCCCAGGCAAGGTTAAATTTCATTGTCTTCCACGGCAAGGTTAAATTTCATTGTCTTAGATGTTTACCAGGTAGGGTGCCAATACCTAGGAGCTTAATAAATGTATGTTTATCAATCTTACAGGCATTAATAACTTTGTGTATTACCTTCATAAATTTGTGGCTTCAATCTCTGGACTTTTGAAACAAGAGAACACATGGACCAGGCCTGAAAATTGAAAAAGGAAAATCAATTATAGGCATGTGCTGTGATGAGTGCCGCATAGTAGTTAGGGAATAACCTTATATATCCTTTTATTATATACAAGTAAGAAAGCAGTCCACCATGTTAGGCAACACTGCAATTATGCATAGACTCAAAACTCACCAAAAAAAGCAGAAACCACATTTGTGAGATGTTACAGATAAGAGAAAAAAAAGTTTGGAGTCCTCCTTTTATTGTAGGCAGCTAAATTAGAAATATTACAGGCAGTCAACTAGGGCTGGGCCCTTGAAGTCAGAGGAGAAGATAAGAACACAACACAACTGTGGCTGGAGGTGCTTACTCTGAAGGCCAGACTTCAAGATAAAAAGGCTGGACCACACCTACATACTTGCCCTAAAGATAAATAGCAGTAATTGATATTCTAAATAGGCCTCCATCATCTTGGGTGGGGAACTAAAAACTCCATAGCCCATTCCTTTCTGGAAAGTACTCTTGCTGTGTGACTTGCTTCCCCATTTGATCCCCATTTAATCAATATTATCTAAGTGACTATACTCGTAATCTTATTAGTTGACTATAGCTTCATCCCACCTGTACTGCCTCACCTGGTAGATTTGATCTATAAAGCTCCTTTGAGAAACCCAGTCGGTGGGCAACTCACTGTCTGGCCAGATGTCTGTCTCTCCTAGACAGAAGCTATCTTTCTCTCAATAATTCCTACTCTTAACTTCTGCTGTTCCTAGAATTCATTATTCGATTTTAGAGAACACAAACTCTGCATATTGGACATTTAGCAGGTTGGGAGTTATAATATTTCCTTCATGTTATTTGGATTATTTGGAGGTCCATATATCATCCCTATATTGTATGACCTATATCATTTTAACAGCAAAATATTGATTCCTTAATATGACTGTAAGAAGAGAAAGTTTAACAAATGAACAAAAAATAAATAAAAATGCTACCCAGAATTAGGGCCATCTTTTACTCATTTGAGCAAAAAATTAGCCTCTCTGTGCCTCAGTTTTCTTGCCTAAAATGGGAATAATAGTAGTACCCACTTCTTCGGGTTGTGGGAATGTAAATGTTGGTAATGTAAGTATCTGAAACTACAGAATTAGTGATTTGTTTCAGACATCAAGGCAGAAACAACAGATGTTAAATGTGGGTCCTAGATTCCTAGAGTAGGCACGATTTACCTTGCTAATCCACAGGTTGATCCTGGACTTGTATGCTGAGGAACCCGGCCTAAAAAGCTAACATTTATTGAGGATTTACTGTGTGCCACATTTTGTGCATTATTTTAGTCTTATGACTGCTTTTCCTATTTTACAGATAAGGGAAACTGAGGTATAGAAAATTACATAGCTTGCCCAAGGTCACATAAATACTGTAGTACAACATAAACTCTGGAACTGAACCCTTACTCTTTACTTCCAGAAAGAAGATTCTGAACCCAAGGCAGATTCCCTTTAAAAGAACATGCACAGCAATACTCCACAATATCAGTGTTACCAGTATTTATGCACAAGAAGAAACATTAGCAAAGCAAACCTGAGGTCAACTGAAGCTGACTAACACTTTCCTGGTCTGTATATGCCTTCTATATGAAGTCAAATTATCAGCTGTTTGGTAAGCATGGAAAGGGAACAAGTAGTTACCTAATCTCAAAAGGTGATCCTCAGTTAAGGCTATCTGTAGGCATTCTCATCCATTCTAACAAAAATGACAGCTCTGGTGAGCTCTTATTGTGGTACTCATCTGGCCAAAGTATACTCAGCTATTATCCTGTCCCTTAAACAGGATGATAGGCATTACCAGTTACTCAAGACCTCCCTCTTTGTTCTGGGCTGACCATACTCCTGGTCACAGACTTTCTCCACATAGAACAATCCAGTGAATGTCTTTCAAGTCTACTCCCTGCCTTTCTTAGATGACCATACCATTATAATAAAAAAAAAATCAGATCAAGGAAATTTGGATATAACCACATGGTATCCTTGTTATTGAACAGTTTCAGTACATTTAGTGTGTCATCATCAAAATCTGATGAGTCTTGAGAACATAGAGAAAACTGTTTCTGGAAAAGCACAATAGTAGACCCTGAAACTACCACACAGATCTACGGCCATTCTGTGGCTGTCTGAACAAGTCTAATAGCTTCCCAGATGTTTTCACTTAACTGCAGTACTACCCACCCTAGTGAACGCTTTTAGTATCAGACTATTTTTGGCCACCATCCCTAGACTTTCAGCATCAACAAGGACAGCTTACTTTGCTTACTTTGTTTAAGATTTTCTTTAGAAATTTCCATATACTTTCCCCTGGGATACTTTCTAAAGTATAAAGTTCGTATTATTCCCTTGTTTAAAATCTTAAGCTTGAACCCACAGTAGACAAATGTGGGCATTAAAAGCCTTCATTTTTATTCCTTCATGTCTTTCCAACCTTTTCTCCTGTCACTGGCCAGGCATAACCTATACACCAGGGAAACTGAAGTACATGTCACTCACCAATGTGCTCATGCCCCTGGCTTTATCCATATGGACCTGCCTATCTTCTCCTACAATATTTCCCCCTCTGTGACCTTTCTACTGATCTTCCAGTTCTATGGTCTCCACTAGAGAAGTTACCCCAACACATTTTAATGATCTGTTTCTATATCTGCTTCTCTATTACACTGTGAGGTCCCTGAGGGGGAAGCACTCTTCTTTTTGACAAGTCTATGTCATTGGAGTGCTCCGTAAGTGTCTCAAAAGTGACTGAACCCCCACCACACACAAATGAACTACATTCTGAGTAATTAGACCTCTCAATTTCGTTTGAAGATTCTGAACACAGTTGCCATTGGAACAGCTACAGATTTCTGTTCCCAACCTCCTTGTCAAGCATTAGACTTAGAAACTTATTTTCTGCTACAGTTCGCTGTCTTAGTAGGCTATCAAACTTATCTCCTCAAACCGCCATCTCTAACCTAGGCCTTCCCTCTCCCTTCCCCTTACCTGTTCCCCCTCCAAAATAATTTAGAATTAGATGCAAGATAGATTTACTACCCAAGTTTTCATCACCAAATGATTTCCCGTCCAATTATTCACCGTCTTTTCAAAATATCTCCTACAGTTATCCATATTACTTACTAAAACAACTGATCATGTTTCACGTCTCTGCTTTTACTGTGGATTTCTTTATAGCCTCGGTGATCTCTCTTTTCTCTCAGATGCTAAGAATTATTTTTCCCCTGAAAAGGACCTCCTCTCCTTCATCTCAGTCATTGACACCTTCCTAATCAAGACAAAAATCAGTTATTTCTCTTTATTTTTAATCTCTCCTTATTCATCAGTACCTCTTTGCCTACAGACATTATATTACCTCTTATCCTTAAAAAATGTGAACTATTATGCTAATTCACTGCTATTATTTTCCTTTCAAAGCCAAAATTCTCAAAATAGTTTTTATCTGGCACCTGCTTTTTCTCATTACTGCTGTATGATTTTCTTCTACTCCAACCAGTGTAATGAAACTGTACCCTATTTCATATTATCAATTATACATTTCAATCCTTATTTACACTTTTAGTTTTTCATACCAGAGAAACGATGTGGTATTTATACATGTGTGTCCTATTTATTCACTTAAGAATACGGCCTCAGACATTTCTAATCTTGATAAATGAAAATAATTATATTCCCTGTTCATCAGGTTGTTGACAATAATGAAACTGCATGTAAAGACCATGTATACAATACATGGTATAAAGAATTTGCTTTCTTAAGAAAACAGAAGAAACATTTCTGGTTCAGTTTGAGATAGGAATGTTGCTATCTGGTATATGGAAGTCACACTGCAATAAGAAAGAAGAGCCATAAGAACTGCAGAGATAACTACCTAGTATCACTGAAGAAACATCAACAGCCTCCAGGTTTATGTTTGTTTTTGTTTGAACTTATGAACTGGCTTAAACTACCTGCACTTTGGTTACTTACACACACACACACACACACACACACACACACACACACCCTCTGATACTGTCTCAAATGTATGCTTAAAAGCTTTAACTAACATTCTTTTCTGCTATCTTGGTAGGCAGTTTACACAAATGAACCTACAGTTATCTCAAATTTAAACATATTTGTTTGTTTCTAGTCTTTCTACTGTAGATAAAAGTCTCCAGCTCCTGGGGCCACTTTTTGTAAGATGTGGTGTCCAAAGACCTCAGACAATTAAAATTTCATAGTATATGACTTGTAATGCACTGAAAAGTACACTTGTAGAACATGTCAAAATTCTTCTATTTCTATTGATATAAAAGAACCACTTACTGCAGTGAAAAATGACTAGTTTTGAAGTTGGCCAGAATAAGATAAATTTAGTTACAAAACTTCCTAAAGTTTATTTTTTATATTCTCTTATTTTTCTAAATAAGGTATAATACTTTCTCAAAACGTTGTTATGAAGAGTTAAGGCTAACGTTGCCAAGCACCTAGTACAGTAAAGAGTGTGGGAGGGACACACACACACACACACATACATAAATGTGTGCTCTTTCTAATTGCTTAATAACATAGTAAGCAGTAAGTAAATATCCTGATCCTTGCCACAGAGTGTATAGTAGTACAACATTTCATCAAGAAAGACTACAGTTATATGGTCATATATTTTTTAATCCATAAAGATAAATTATTTCTTTTAAATTTCCACTCAACAACACATTACTCAAAAACATTTTTTAGAATTTCTCTTTTAAGAATAACTTTCAGAAAATACACTTGTTGTATCATAGATACTAGTGATTGGACCAGTGTTGGTCTTTTGAGGAAGGCCTAATGGTGGCTAAAGTTAAATTATTTTTCTTTTTCTTTTTTTTTTTGAGACAGGGTCTCACTATGTAGTCAAGACTGACCTGGAACTCACTATGTAGTCCAGGCTGGTCTCGAACTCACAGCGATCCTCCTGCCTCAGCCTCCCTAGTGCTAGGATTACAGGCATGCCCCACCACACCCAGTGCTAAAGTTAAATTTATCCAACTTCCTTAGATGCACTTTCCAGATGCATTGAGAATATACACTCCTTAACAGAGAAAAATCACATTATTACAAAATTTGCACTTTTTAAAGACAGCAAAAAGCCTTTTCAAGTTACTCCTGATAAATAAGGTAGCTTAAAAAATATAACAGGTGATTTCACGGGGAAGAAAGAGAAAAAATGTGATGGCTGCAGAACAAAATTAAAACAAAGTAAGACTTAAACATTGTTTTCTTTTTGTGTCCATTAACTGGCTATGAATGTAATTCTAAAACATGTTGGAGCTAACAGTCTCCAAGGATGTCTACTTGAAAAACAATATCTATGTATGTGTAAATTTGATTTTAAAACAATCGAGGTGATCTTATTTTATATACATAATTTATAATTTTCTATGCTCAAAACAATGAAAGTTAAAAAAAAGGAAAATGTTTTCATTTTTCCAGTTCTTGACCCATGGTAATCCTCCACCATTACATATTCTAAATCTATGGAGGTCTGTTTGTTTTGCTGTACCGGGGATTGGATCCAGGGCTCGGGCATGCTAGGCAATCTCTACCACTGAGCGTTCCCCTAGCCTTCAAAGTGCTTTTTTGAAAATTTGTAAAATATATGACATTTCTTCTATGACGTGAAAACTAAACTGGATAAATTCTGATGTAATTATTTAAGTATCATGAAACCACACACACACACACACACACACACACACACACACACAGTTTGGGATTTTGTTTGTTTTTTGGAGACAGGGTCTCGCTATGTAGTTCACTATATCCCCCAGGCCGGCCTCAAACTCACAGCGATACTCCTGCTTCAGCCTTCCTAGTGCTAGGATACAGAAGTGAACCATCACTCCAGGCGAAAAAATACCTTTAATGTTATATATTGTATATTTTCTTTGGTGTGATATTGCTTCCAGCCCCTCCCCATTGATTTCACGTCCTAGTAAGACTGAATCACAGAGCTTTAAAAATATACCTTTTAAACAGCCGTTTGACTCCAACGTTTTCCTTGCTCTGCCAGTGACCGTGAACCTTTTAGATAGTTCAATGGCAACAAACCAGCCACCTTCCCGCGGGTTTGGTAACCTAGCAACTAGGGCGTGCTGGCAAGGATTTCTGGAACCCGTGTTGTCCAATCAGCTCAGCGGAGTTACCGCAGAGGCTGACGGGGCAGTGGAGACTGCGCAGTCTCGGGTCTCAGCACCATGGAAACGCTTGCTGGGCCTGGGGCGACAATGGCGGCTTGGTCTGTTTTAACTGCTAGGGCTCTGACTACTTTCCTCATGTTGGTCCTCCCTCGCGTCTCACAGGCTCCGACTTTCTCCTTTCCTTTCCAGCAGCCAGAGACATGCAGCCACAACCAGTACTTCGATATCTCGGCGCTGTCCTGTGTCTCGTGTAGAGCCAACCAGAAGCAGGATGCTCGAGGTGAGACGGGTGCAAACGTAAGACTCCCACCTTGGTTACCCCCAGGCCTCGACCTTTTCGTTTATAGAAGGAATGCTTCAGGAAACGTAGCCGGCGAACTCACTATTTCCTGGGAGGACTCCAGCTTACCCACAAAAGTGGTCGGGGAACCCGAAGTCCCTACCCTGCTTGCCTACGCCGGCGATGAGGGTCATTTCCCCAGTCCTGATATACGGGAGAAGTCTGTAAAGCAGCACTTAGAAAGCTGCCTATCAAAGGTAGAAAATAAATAGAAAGAAAGTAATCTGAGGTAGAGAGGTGCAGATGACAGGAAAGATTAAAGGGAAGTGCGAATTAATGCTTGTGAACGTTGACAGCTCTTTATCTTGCTTTTTCCCATCCCAGAAATTTAGAGCTGGGAGAGGCCTTAATTAAGCATAATCAGAGCCATCTTTTCACTCTTCTAAGAGAATTGAATCCCAGAAAAGCCTGTGAAATCTGTGTCACCTAAAATGGGACTGGGAGATCTCTTGTCTCCCACCCCCGCTTCGTCTCTACCTCTGTATCTCCAGTGTAGTTAATAGAATTCTTAGAACCTATCCCATTTCTTTTTAAAGTCTTTAGATTAAACTTAATTCACCCCCTAAAATGTGCAATGAACTACTCAGAATAAATTTTGCCTGTATATTGAAGTCTAAGGTTTTTAAAGTCTCAATCATCCAGCAGTGGTGGCGAACCTACTACACATGCATGCTGCAGTGGGCTGTTCATAGCATTGAAAGCTCTAACAGGTTCGCCATCACAGTATTAATTTTCTGCCACCTTCCGCCTGATTTATCCTCATTTAAGTCACTAAGACAGATCAGATTGTTTGGGTAAAGAAATGTGAGAAAGCATTTCAAGCTCTAAAATGTAAGATACTAGTATAACAATTATGAATCTAGATATTATATGTATTGTACTATACAGATTGCTATGGATGTACTACACAGAGACTGCTGTACTTGCTTTACAGCCAGTTCAGTAGTAATTATCTGAAAAGATTTACTGGCTTTCCAAATAGAAAACAGTGATTTATTTTCTAATAAAGTTTTGGCAATTTTTTTGGCAATTTTTAATTCACTGAATGTTCATATATGACTTAGCCACACAGAAATACAAAATTTCCTATAGCAGTTAATAGTTTTAAGAGTTCAGTAGTTTGATAATTTAGTCATACATGAAATTAAAATAGCACCAGCGTAATCCAATCTGTGTGCCAGACTCAGGGAAACTTTTATGTGTAATAAATAATTCAGAACTCACACTAATCCTTTGAGGTAGGTACTGTTATTTTTTTCTGTTTCACTGATGAAGCAGCTAAGGCACATAGTTCAATAACTAGCTCAGTGTCACTCAGCTTAGTAGGAAAACTAATATTGGAACCCAAGGGTACAGTTCTGGATTTGAACCCAGACAGAACTAGTTCCTGCATTTTGTTATTAACCACTATACAATACTGCTTCTGAAAATCTTAAGATTGGCTGTCTTGGAGTTCTTTTATTTATCAAGGACAAAATTTGCTCCTTTTTAGGAACTTCATGTGTGTGCTTACCAGGATTTCAGATGATTTCTAATAATGGAGGACCTGACATTATTTGTAAAAAGTGTCCAGAAAACATGGTATGGAGATCTTATTTAAAATCATTTTTCTGTAAAAAATAATGAATTAAATCTCTTTATTTTTGAAGCTTCAATATAATATTTAATCTAATTTTCCACACAAACTTTAAAATTATTAAATTAACTTTAGTTTTAGTTTACTAAAGTAAATTTTGGGAGATTGATAAAATTTTATGCAAAATTCCATATGGAAAAAAACTTTTTTTTTTTTTGATTTTTGAGACAGGGTCTCACTATGTAGTTGAGACTGATCTGGAACTCACTATGTAGCCCAGGCTGGTCTCAAACTCACAGCGATCCTCCTGCCTCAGCCTCCCAAGTGCTGGGATTACAGGCGTGTGCCACCACGCCCAGCTGGAAAAAAAACTAAATCTGATTTTAAGAAAACTACAGGATGCGAGGGCGATCTGGCTGTGACATCTGTCACCCCACTGATCACCAGGGTTGATTTGGCTGATCTGTCTGGATAGGCGGTTGTCCCCTTCCTCCCTCACCGCTTCAAGTATGTCCCTCCTGAAGCTGCGTGGTGGGTCAAAGAGGATACAGAAGGACCATTTCCTTTTCAAGGGTATATGAGTAGCTGCGCTCCCCTACTAGAACCTCCAAACAAGCTCTCAAGAAAACTACAAATCTGTGAAAATTTGTATTTTTATTTTTCCTCACAGACTAACTCAGTTATAAAGAAAGATGAATAATGTACAGAGCAGTTGAAGATATATATATATATATATATATATATATATATATGTATGTATGTATGTATATATCCTTTGGTACAGATTGTATTGAGTGTCTTATACCTACTATATGAATAGTAGGTTATATGGTGGTCTAGGTTCATAATGATTTTTAAGGTGAAATACATTCATGTAAGCTGAGCATAGCCGTATGAGCATGGCCATAATTCCAGCATTTAGGAGGCTGAGACAGGAGGATTCCTGTGAGTTGAAAGCCAGCCTGGGCTACATAATGAGTTCAAGGCCAACCTGAACTACAAAGTGAGACTCTATCTCAAAACAAAACAAAAAAAAGTTCATATAATGCCAATTGGATCAATAAATAGTTTAATAATGTCTGGCTCTTTTGTTAGTCATTTTGATACATCATTTTTGGGAAATAAATTAATAGTTGCTATGTCAAATCTCAATTTGTAGAAATACATTTTTCTGTCATTTTAGATAATTAGGAGTCTTTCATGACAGTTCGATTTTAATAATAATATTCCTTCTCAGTGTCATATTTTTAAAAAAATGAAATCTGGGAGTTGAATATAAAATTCCCAGATGTCCTAATTTCAAGCTATTTTATTTATTTATTTATGATTATCATTTTGATATTTGCGTTATATTGGAATTATTGGTAGTAGCTGAATCACTGAGGACAAAAAGCTAATAAAAAATGGTGACAGGGTGGACTTTTCAGTGACATTATTTAAGTTGATTTAGTTTTTAAGTAATCCTTTATAAGACTAATGCCATTTTAAGAGCATTTCTTCGTAAGGCTACTCTTATCAATCAAAATTTAAGATAATTTGTGGCATTAGTCTGTTTTTGTCATTGTTCTCTATTAGTTTTGGTCACATATATTTATAATTACTATATTATTGTTCCTGTTTTTCCTAAACCGTATAATAAGCTCAATTTTTAATGAGGTGGAAGTTTGCCAAAAACCTTTACTAGTACAAATTATTAATGAATAAAAGGAACTGTTCTCACAATATTTGAAAATTAATGTGTAATTTACATACCATGATAATTTACCTATTTTGAGTCAGAATTTTTAAAGCTAATGTACTTCAATTTTTTTTGTACTTCAATTTTTAAAAAATTAGAGTAACTATTTTAGAACATACAAGCCTAAACTATTAAGTGACTCCATTGATTCAATCCTGCTAAATATCTTTGTGTTTTGTATTTGTGAATGAAAAAATTGGATGACAAAATTAATTATGAAAGTAAAAATCCATTTGAACTGAAGAACAAAGAATTGTAACTGAGTTTATCTTTTATTAATAATCAGTGCATAATATAAACTTGCAGCTTAATTTTGCAATATAAAATAAGAATTGGCTATCCAAGGAATTATTCTGTGGTTCATATATGTATGGTTTACTTGAATATGTATTGCAAATTACCTACTGTTATGGCTGTTTGAACTTACATGATCAATTCAGAAGTTAATTAATAAGGAGGAAAATTTTTTCTGATTCAGAATGGTATTACTGAAGATGGCTGGAACTGCATTTCTTGCCCTAATGGCTTAACTGCAGAAGGAAAATGCCACTGTCCCACTGGCCATATTTTAGGTAAGAATTAGCTTCTTTATAAGATCATGGTGATGAATTTTTGTTTGTGTCTTATAAAGAATATTATTTAAACCTGGGCATGGTTGAGGACCCTGTGATGTAGCACTTGGGAGGCAGACTCACGAGGATCATGAGTTCAAGGCCAGTCTGGGATATAAAGTGAGTCCCTGTCTCAAAAAACCAACAAACCAACCAACAAAAAAGAATATTAATTTCAGTAGTTCAGAGATTACTTAATAGTATTTTTAGAAATTATTTTTGTGCAAAATTTAGTGATGTTGGGCTGAGGATTTAGCTCAGTGGTTCCACCGCCTGCCTTGCAAGTACAAGATCCTGAATTTGATATCCTCAGTACCAAAAAAAAAAAAAATTTAGTGATGCCTGAGATACCAGCAGGCATTGAGTAGAAAATATGTCCTGTCTGGTTAAAAAAATAAAAAGCCCTGGGAATACAGGTCAATGCCAAAGCTCAGGATTCAATCCCCAGTGCCACCAAACAAACAAACAAACACAAATAAATTGAAAGAGAAAGGGAAAGAGCAAGCCAAAGTAATTACTACTAAAAGTTGTAGACAGTAAAGTTTTCTAGACACAAAAATAATATCCAAAAGTAATAGCCTTCCTATTTAAAAATAATAGTTCTTTAAAAATGTGATGGAAAATATTTCATTTACAATAGCAGGGCCAGGGATTTAGCTCACTGGTGCCACGCTTGCCTCACAAGTGCAAGGTCCCTGAGTTCAATCCCTTTTAGTGCAAAAAATAACAACAAGAACAATAATAATACATTCATTTACAATAGCCAAAAAGTATGAATTGAAGAAACCGTTGCTATTGAGTGTTACAAAATCAGGCTTTAATAAGTGAAAAATACATTCTTCATTTGGGGTGATTAGATTAAATATTGTGATATTATAGAACAATATTCAATATTATTATCAACTCTCCCACCAGTCTATATAGTTAAAGGGAAGCTAATAAATTCTACCACGGTTTGTTTATTTGGAGGAATACACAAATAGATTCTAAAATTTATCAGGGAACTTCTCCAAAGGAGAAGAAACTATTCCATTGGCTATTCATACTTTACGACTTTTGTAGTAACATTCATGCCTAGCATATGAGGACACAGGCTGTGTGATGGAACTTGAAACTAGTGTATATGAGATTTTGGTATATAAAAAATTGACATATCAGTAAAGATAAGACTAATAAATTGATGAATAAACGGAGAAAACTCTGAGTTAAGTTTCTACCTTAGTCTTTAAAGAAAATTCAGTTTCAACAGATCAAATATTTAAATATCAAATGTGAATGTATGAAAACTTAAATATAAAACAATTTATATAGTCTTTTTGTGTTATATGGCTAAGTATGAAAAAATTGAAAAATAAAAAATTGCTGCATTTGGCAACGTAAAAAAATTTTTAAATGTTATAAAATTCCAAAAACCCAGTAAGAAGCTAAGGAAAAATATATAATGCATACAATGGAAAGAGGTCTCACTTCAATATATGTAAGGTTCCTATAAGTAAATAAAAGATGTATGGCTCATTTTTATAGCCAAAAGTCATGAATAAAGTTCGCAGAGAGAAAAAAATAGTTGAGCATGAACAATAATAATAATATTAAAAACCCAACCTTATTTAGGATTAAATGAAGTGAATTAAAACTAAAATGAAACTTTATTTTTAACCTCAAGATTTTATTAAGCCTTTTCAACTTTGTCAATGCATTTGTAAGAGAAATACTCATATATTATCAGAGAATTTTAAGTTAGTGCAATCTCTTTGGAGAATGTATTGACAGCATTTATCAGAATTTAAAATGAGGGGGAATTTGGCTCAGTGGTGCCAACACCAGCATCAGCAAACGCAAGGTCCAGAGTTCAATCCCTGGTACCAAAAAAAAAAGTAAAATGCTGGTCAATTTGGTCTAGTACTCCACCTAGAAATTTCGTGTTCAGATACTCTGAAGAAGTGAATGTATGTTTTATTTTATTTATTTATGAAACAAGGTTTTGCTATGTATTTCACGCTGGCCTTGAACTCACTATGTAGCTCAGGCTGGCCTTGAACTTATAGCAATGTCAATGCCAAAGCTCAGGATTCAATCCCCAGTGCCACCAAACAAACAAACAAACACAAATAAATTGAAAGAGAAAGGGAAAGAGCAAGCCAAAGTAATTACTACTAAAAGTTGTAGACAGTAAAGTTTTCTAGACACAAAAATAATATCCAAAAGTAATAGCCTTCCTATTTAAAAATAATAGTTCTTTAAAAATGTGATGGAAAATATTTCATTTACAATAGCAGGGCCAGGGATTTAGCTCACTGGTGCCACGCTTGCCTCACAAGTGCAAGGTCCCTGAGTTCAATCCCTTTTAGTGCAAAAAATAACAACAAGAACAATAATAATACATTCATTTACAATAGCCAAAAAGTATGAATTGAAGAAACCGTTGCTATTGAGTGTTACAAAATCAGGCTTTAATAAGTGAAAAATACATTCTTCATTTGGGGTGATTAGATTAAATATTGTGATATTATAGAACAATATTCAATATTATTATCAACTCTCCCACCAGTCTATATAGTTAAAGGGAAGCTAATAAATTCTACCACGGTTTGTTTATTTGGAGGAATACACAAATAGATTCTAAAATTTATCAGGGAACTTCTCCAAAGGAGAAGAAACTATTCCATTGGCTATTCATACTTTATGACTTTTGTAGTAACATTCATGCCTAGCATATGAGGACACAGGCTGTGTGATGGAACTTGAAACTAGTGTATATGAGATTTTGGTATATAAAAAATTGACATATCAGTAAAGATAAGACTAATAAATTGATGAATAAACGGAGAAAACTCTGAGTTAAGTTTCTACCTTAGTCTTTAAAGAAAATTCAGTTTCAACAGATCAAATATTTAAATATCAAATGTGAATGTATGAAAACTTAAATATAAAACAATTTATATAGTCTTTTTGTGTTATATGGCTAAGTATGAAAAAATTGAAAAATAAAAAATTGCTGCATTTGGCAACGTAAAAAAATTTTTAAATGTTATAAAATTCCAAAAACCCAGTAAGAAGCTAAGGAAAAATATATAATGCATACAATGGAAAGAGGTCTCACTTCAATATATGTAAGGTTCCTATAAGTAAATAAAAGATGTATGGCTCATTTTTATAGCCAAAAGTCATGAATAAAGTTCGCAGAGAGAAAAAAATAGTTGAGCATGAACAATAATAATAATATTAAAAACCCAACCTTATTTAGGATTAAATGAAGTGAATTAAAACTAAAATGAAACTTTATTTTTAACCTCAAGATTTTATTAAGCCTTTTCAACTTTGTCAATGCATTTGTAAGAGAAATACTCATATATTATCAGAGAATTTTAAGTTAGTGCAATCTCTTTGGAGAATGTATTGACAGCATTTATCAGAATTTAAAATGAGGGGGAATTTGGCTCAGTGGTGCCAACACCAGCATCAGCAAACGCAAGGTCCAGAGTTCAATCCCTGGTACCAAAAAAAAAAGTAAAATGCTGGTCAATTTGGTCTAGTACTCCACCTAGAAATTTCGTGTTCAGATACTCTGAAGAAGTGAATGTATGTTTTATTTTATTTATTTATGAAACAAGGTTTTGCTATGTATTTCACGCTGGCCTTGAACTCACTATGTAGCTCAGGCTGGCCTTGAACTTATAGCAATCCTGCCTCAGCCTCCTGAGTGCTGAGATTACAGGGAGATACCACTACGCACAGCCAATGTGTGTTTTTTTAATTGCAATATCTTTACTAAGACAAAGATTGTAAACAATTTAAAAATTTATCAAGAGGACATTGGTCAGATGAACCGTGGTCTGTCCATCCAGGAATCACAGGTGCTAGAGTTGCAGTTTCATGAGTTGCTGAGGGTGGAAGTTAGGTCCCTGGAGGGTGAGAAGACTGAGTGGTTGGGAAGTGGAGGCAGCTGAATGTGTCCTCAGGGTTATGGATAACCAGGTTCTTCCCCACCTTGAAATGGGAATCTTTGTTGATAAATACTTAAGCAGTTTTAAAAATATTACATTCATGCATACTACTGATTTTTAGTAGTTTTATTAGCACTGTTCCCTCTATTGAAAAGATTAACTAGACTCTCACAATTGCGGGGGTGGATTCTCAGGGAGGGGCCTAAGAAAAATTCTTAGGGATGGGCTACATGGCAATTTGACATTTATTGCATTTCTAGATGTGTTATTTTACCAAAACATTGAGTATTAAATTAAGGTATTAAGGAAAGATGTAAGTAAATCAAATTAGATTATAAATGTGGGATAAAATCACCCAAGGACAGGGCTGGGGATTTAGCTCAGCAGTTCGGTGGCCTGCCTCGCAAGTGCAAGGACCCAAGTTCAATCCCCGGTACCAAAAAACAAAAACAAAAAAAAAACTCAAATACACTGGCATTTATTTAAGTGCCATCCAATAGAAATATAAGGCAAACCAAATATATAATTTTTAATTTTCTTATCTACACATTAAAAAGGTAAAGAGATCGGGCTTGGTGGCCCACATACATCTCTAATCCCAGCACTTGGGAGGCTGAAGCAGGGGGATTGCTGCAAGTTCAGGGCCAGCCTGAGCTACATAGCAAGACCCTGTCTCAAATCACCCCCCAATAAAAAGGTAAAAAGTAACACATGAAATGAATTTTAACAATGTATTTCATCTAACCCCACAGAATTTAAAATATTTCAAAACTAATCAAGGTAAATAATTATTAATAAGACATTTCATTCTTTGGTTTACTAAGTCTTTGAAACTTCAGTTCCGATCAGCCACATTTCAGGTGCTCCATAACCACAAGTGACTAGCAGTGACCACATTGAACAGTAAGACTTTATAACAAGATAAAGTGCATACGGGTACATTTGATGTCCGCTGCATATACAAGCTGACTAATCACTGTGGAATCTCATATAACAAACCACTTCATCATATTCCATTACTCTAACCATGTTGTTGACCTTGTAATTCTTCACATGTTTTTTAAATTTCATGGGTCAGAAACAAAAAGAACATTTTGGGATTTTTTTTTTATTCTTTCTCTGGCACTCCTTAACAGAGAAAAATCACATTATTACAAATTTTTCACTTTTTGAAGAGAACAAAAAGCCATTTCAAGTTACTCCTGATAAATAAGGCAGTTTAAAAAATATAACAGGCGATTTCATGGCCCCAAGAGATTAGGCGAGCTTGGAAAACATAGTATTGCTAGTTCAGAGGCTCCTGTCACATGCTTGAGATTCTCTGTAGTGCAGAGCAGAGGCGAGAGAGTAGGACGTTAGTTTATGTGGATGATCACGGAAGGCCTCTCAGGAAAGGTGACATCTGAGCAGAGAGTTGAAGGGATGGGAGATGGAGTCCTGAGGTGACTGGGAACATCACGATGAATAGAAGTGATACTGGGACATAAGGTGCAGTGATGGTAGCATATTTGGTGCATCCCAGGCAGAGGAAGTAACGCTGATGTGGTTGAAGCAAAGGAGGGGGAAAATGGAGCAGATGGATCTGAAAAGTTGAGGGTGAGCAGATCTTGTAGTCCCTAATGACAGCCTTGGAAGTGGCACTTGGTAGGTTGTAAGCAGCGAAGTGACCCGATCCTAGCTAGGCTTTAAAAGGTGACTCTGGTTTCTGCATGGAGCGTGGGATCAGCACTCCAGTTCAGAAGCTGTTACAAAATACTGGGTTGTAGATTGTGGAACTTGATCCACACTATTCATTGTGGGAGTAGAATGACTCTTCCTGCCTCAGCCTCCTGAGTGCTGAGATTACAGGGAGATACCACTACGCACAGCCAATGTGTGTTTTTTTAATTGCAATATCTTTACTAAGACAAAGATTGTAAACAATTTAAAAATTTATCAAGAGGACATTGGTCAGATGAACCGTGGTCTGTCCATCCAGGAATCACAGGTGCTAGAGTTGCAGTTTCATGAGTTGCTGAGGGTGGAAGTTAGGTCCCTGGAGGGTGAGAAGACTGAGTGGTTGGGAAGTGGAGGCAGCTGAATGTGTCCTCAGGGTTATGGATAACCAGGTTCTTCCCCACCTTGAAATGGGAATCTTTGTTGATAAATACTTAAGCAGTTTTAAAAATATTACATTCATGCATACTACTGATTTTTAGTAGTTTTATTAGCACTGTTCCCTCTATTGAAAAGATTAACTAGACTCTCACAATTGCGGGGGTGGATTCTCAGGGAGGGGCCTAAGAAAAATTCTTAGGGATGGGCTACATGGCAATTTGACATTTATTGCATTTCTAGATGTGTTATTTTACCAAAACATTGAGTATTAAATTAAGGTATTAAGGAAAGATGTAAGTAAATCAAATTAGATTATAAATGTGGGATAAAATCACCCAAGGACAGGGATGGGGATTTAGCTCAGCGGTTCGGTGGCCTGCCTCGCAAGTGCAAGGACCCAAGTTCAATCCCCGGTACCAAAAAACAAAAACAAAAAAAAAACTCAAATACACTGGCATTTATTTAAGTGCCATCCAATAGAAATATAAGGCAAACCAAATATATAATTTTTAATTTTCTTATCTACACATTAAAAAGGTAAAGAGATCGGGCTTGGTGGCCCACATACATCTCTAATCCCAGCACTTGGGAGGCTGAAGCAGGGGGATTGCTGCAAGTTCAGGGCCAGCCTGAGCTACATAGCAAGACCCTGTCTCAAATCACCCCCCAATAAAAAGGTAAAAAGTAACACATGAAATGAATTTTAACAATGTATTTCATCTAACCCCACAGAATTTAAAATATTTCAAAACTAATCAAGGTAAATAATTATTAATAAGACATTTCATTCTTTGGTTTACTAAGTCTTTGAAACTTCAGTTCCGATCAGCCACATTTCAGGTGCTCCATAACCACAAGTGACTAGCAGTGACCACATTGAACAGTAAGACTTTATAACAAGATAAAGTGCATACGGGTACATTTGATGTCCGCTGCATATACAAGCTGACTAATCACTGTGGAATCTCATATAACAAACCACTTCATCATATTCCATTACTCTAACCATGTTGTTGACCTTGTAATTCTTCACATGTTTTTTAAATTTCATGGGTCAGAAACAAAAAGAACATTTTGGGATTTTTTTTTTATTCTTTCTCTGGCACTCCTTAACAGAGAAAAATCACATTATTACAAATTTTTCACTTTTTGAAGAGAACAAAAAGCCATTTCAAGTTACTCCTGATAAATAAGGCAGTTTAAAAAATATAACAGGCGATTTCATGGCCCCAAGAGATTAGGCGAGCTTGGAAAACATAGTATTGCTAGTTCAGAGGCTCCTGTCACATGCTTGAGATTCTCTGTAGTGCAGAGCAGAGGCGAGAGAGTAGGACGTTAGTTTATGTGGATGATCACGGAAGGCCTCTCAGGAAAGGTGACATCTGAGCAGAGAGTTGAAGGGATGGGAGATGGAGTCCTGAGGTGACTGGGAACATCACGATGAATAGAAGTGATACTGGGACATAAGGTGCAGTGATGGTAGCATATTTGGTGCATCCCAGGCAGAGGAAGTAACGCTGATGTGGTTGAAGCAAAGGAGGGGGAAAATGGAGCAGATGGATCTGAAAAGTTGAGGGTGAGCAGATCTTGTAGTCCCTAATGACAGCCTTGGAAGTGGCACTTGGTAGGTTGTAAGCAGCGAAGTGACCCGATCCTAGCTAGGCTTTAAAAGGTGACTCTGGTTCCTGCATGGAGCGTGGGATCAGCACTCCAGTTCAGAAGCTGTTACAAAATACTGGGTTGTAGATTGTGGAACTTGATCCACACTATTCATTGTGGGAGTAGAATGACTCAGCTTCTGAATAAGTTGGACAAGAGAGTTGACAGGATTTGCATATTGGTTTATTTAAAAAATCATTTATGTATTCATTTGTGCATTCTATACTAGGGATTGAACCCAGGGCTTTCACACTGAGAGCTATATTCTCACATATTTTATTTTGCAGTAGGGTCTCTGAGTTGCCCAGATGGGATTCAAACTTGCGATCCTCCCGCCTCAGCCTCCCATAGTGCTGGGATTACAGATGTGCACCACCATGCCCAGCTTGATTTTTATTTTTAATGTGAAGTATAAGAAGAGAAGACTCAGGATTGAGGCCTGAGTAAATCTTCAAATGGAGTTGGATTTACTGCGAGAGATGACTGTGTGAGGAACCAGTTCATCTTTTGTGAAAAATACTTTGTAGCCCCACGCAAAACCTTACAGAGTTATGAATACATGTGAAGTCCTCCTTGACCATTTTCCCCAATGCAGAGTCTCCATTGCTTCATAACCCATTCTGTTTTAGGGGTGTGTGTATCCTCCTAGAATTTTTTTTCCTATTTTGTCATAATGATATGCATGGTAGCCATAAGAAATAGAAGTATTATATAAGAAATATAAATCAGTATTTCATATTCCAGATATTGTTATATTGCATACTTATTTCAGCTCACAATATTATCTGTTAGGTCTACACCATTCTTTTTAACCTATCCTGTAGTATTTCATGGTATGAGTATATTATCATTTTGCTGTTTAGCTATTCATATTGTTTTCTAACAAATAATATTTCAGTTAATGTAACTTATACACATGGAAAGTATTTTTGTTTTGTATCTAAAAATGAAATTGTAAAGTATGAGAATTTAAAACTTTAATAGACATTATTAAAAGCCATCCAAGTTATAGAAACAGCAGTAATCTAGGAAAATTCTTTCTTCTCCATGTATGACAGGAAAAGGTAAGAGTTTTTGAGAAAAAAATGTTATTGATTCATTATTAATGATGACTTGGAAAATTAGTTTCTGTGTTTTTTTCATGTGGAAATGGAGAAGGCTTCATTTTTGTAATCTTACAAAGATCGTTGACATGCCTTATATGCAAATAATGTGTTCTGAGAATTATCACAATAATAATTACAAGTAAGTTTGACTAGGTATTTTCTAAGTTTAAAAAGCTTTTGTGTTCACTGTGAATTACACCTTAATTTTGCTTCTGAATTCTTTAGTGGAAAGAGATGTTAATGGATCATTGTTATCTCAAGCAACTTGTGTGCTTTGTGATGGAAATGAAAACTCTTTTACCATAGCCAATGCTTTAGGAAACACGTAAGTAGTATTGCTAGAGGCTGACTTTATTAATATCATCTTACATTAATCACTTTGTATCATCTTGTTTCACATGACTGTCATTATAAATCCATCAGAGTTACCACTCCCACAGTGTCCTCCGTCCCTCCTCCTTATTCCTTAATGGAAAATAGGAAGGATTCTCCTAAATAGAAATGATGAACTTTACTGGTTGTGGTTTGGTAAAGAGATAGATGCTCTCAGCTTTTCAGTTTATGCTGCCTTTTTGTTTGTAACAGATAAGGGAAGTATATTTGATATAACTACTTAAAATTGATTTACTTTCATTTACATTGAGTTTGTTGTGGTCCTTTGTTAGTTGATTGACTTTACCATCTTTGCTATTTAGTGTATTTATTTCCAAACATAGTCTTCTACTGTTGGTTAATTTTATTTGTTTATAGGTTACCTTGTAACACAGAGAATTGTATAAAACTATTTAAATCAGTGTTAAAATGTGCTTAAATAATTGCTTAGCTGAATGAATCTGTTCTAATCCAGTATTTAGGAAAGCAAATTCTTAATTAAATTAGGTTTAATGTAGCTCACTAACATGTTATTTTTGTTATATTGAACAGATGTGTCCGATGTGAACCAACATTCATTAATGCCAGCAGGTCCTGTGAATGTTCAGAACCTAACATTCTAGTAAGGATAATCAAATTGATAAAGTATATATTTGTAATTCCTTTGCTTATACCTTTCCATAAACAAAGTATTTCTCCCTTTTTTATTTATGAAGACAGGGGCATTATGTTTCAGCAGCTCAGGGAGGTTTCCTCCACGTGTAATTTCAGCTGCACGCCAGGGAGAGCCTGTAAGTATATTTTACATTTTTTGTTCGATTATGAACAGTCTTTCTGCAGTCCTTCCTTTGGTAATTAATATCAAACTACAGTGAGAAACAGTTATATATAAATCACTTTAAAATAAATTATCAATGTAAGAAACATTACTCTACCAACTCAGCACTATAATGTATTAGTACTCTCTTCCATACCTTAGCTCATTCCTTTCTCAGTGAATTGCAGAAAGTAATTTCCTACACAGGTCCTATAGAGGATGTGGTTTAATACAGTTAAGAGCATCTTATACTCCAAATTGGAACCCTAGGTTTTCCAGTCATTAGTTTTCTTTCTTTGGACTTTGGGAAAGTTCCTTAGCATTTCTAAAATTCTGTTTATTATCTGTAAATGAAACATAAGCATCAGAGAAAGTAGAATTATTCATATCCAGCCAGCTTGTTTTATAGATGAGAGCATTGAGAACTAGGTTTAGAGCCTTTGTAGCAGACACTAGGTCATAACAAGGTTTGGGTGTAAAGTGGGAAGCAGATGAAATTGGAACTGAAGAAGTCACAAACCTGAGAGAATAGGGGTTACATGACTTAGGAACATTGAAAATGTCCAGTATACCTGCACAACTTGGGCAGACAGACTGTGATCTGGGTTAATTATCATCATTAAGTAAGTAGGAGTGATTGGGAGGGATGTGAATGAGGGCAGGATTTAGAATCTTTTTTTTTATTTTAATTTTCATTAGTACATTTTTTTGCAGTACATAATGATTACACTCATCATGGAGAGTTGGTACCTATACATAACACACTGTAATTCTTTTTATATTGACTTCTCTCCCTCCCACTGGAATCTATGATCTTGATGAAAAGGGCAACAATTCCTCTCCTCCAGTATAGTCTGTGGTGCCTTTTTATAGAAGAGACTTGAACCTTTGTGGATTTTAGTAATGGGGGTCCTAGATCCAAAGCCTACAAATACAAGAAATATTTTTTTCCTGAGCCATTTGAAAATGAGTTGTAGATATGATGACAGCTTACTCCAAATGCTTCAATATATATTTCCTACCAATAAGGGCATTTTTTTATCATTGCATCCAAGAAATTCGAAATAATTCAATAGGATTATCTGATACCTGATAGATTTCTCCACTTTTTCCAATAGTGCCTCTTATTTCTTTCCTCCGTTTTGGAGGAGAGGGTCCAGGATCAAATCAAGGATCCCATATGGCAACTAGCCTTTTATAGTTGCCTTTAATCTGCAGTAGACACCTGCTCCATTTTTCTTCTTTCACTAACATTAAGAAAATAACACTATTCATTTTCACTTGACAATATACATCTTATCTTTCTAACAGTGTAAGTTCAAGGAATCTTCATTTGAACTTCATCTTTTCATTTACAGGGGATGTCTTTCATTTCAGAATGGTTTGCAAAGTATTTGCAGTCAGCAGCAGCTGCATGTTGGGTACGTTTGAGTTTTTAAAAAATGTTTTATATCACTTTGAAGAATTGTGGTACCGTTCTTTACCCAGATAAAGTTTGCTTTATAAGTAGACATATTTCCTTTGTCATGTTCTCTAAGAAGAATAGAAACTTGCTAGTGTATTGAAAGAGAACATAGAAAATAATATTCAACATAAGCAGATTAAATGTCTCTAAGCATATTCAGCTACATTTGAGTGTTTGGGGAAACTGACCTGTCATTTAGTAAGTTTTGTTGATGACAAAATGTATGCCAGAACTGTTCTCAATCAGCTTATATAGTTGCAGAAAAAGAAAAACATTCCTCCTACAGTTGCGATGTAAGTAAATGTCAGTTTGTACTAAGTGCTGTGAAGGCAATAAGTCAGGGTAAAAGCAGAGAAAGTGGTGGGGAGGTGCTGTTTTATATCCAATCTCTAAGAGGGTGATCTATGAGCACAGACCTGAAAGAAGTGCAAGTGAGCCGTGTAAGTATCTGAGGGAGAGTGTTCTAAGAGACCACGGGAGTAGCAAAGGACAGAAAGCAAGCGTGTGTGGATTGTTTATGCTTCAGAAATGGGAAGGAGACTGGAGTGGCTGAGGCAGCCTGAGCAGGGATGCAAGGGAGGAGAGGAGGTCAGAGGTACAGGGAGGGGCTCTGGTGAGGACCTGGAATCTGGCCTCAGGGAGACATGTTCTAACTTCAGGTTTTCACAGGAGTCCTGTAGCATGGAAATAGATTTTGTTAGGGCCAGAACAGGAGCCAGGAGACCATTGGGATAGTAGTATTACAGTAACCGGAGAGAGACTAGAATTGTGGGCAAGGGTGGTGCCATGGAAATAAGAGACATGTTCAGCTTCTGGCTGTCTGAACACTGAGCCAGCAGCATTGACCGATGAGTTAGAAATGGGTGGGACAGAACTAAGTTCATATGAAGTTTTTGATTTGATTAACTGAAAATGGAGTTGTGTTTTCCTCATAGGGAAAATTGGTCTTAAAACAAAATGAATTAGATTTATATGTATCTGATCTAATATATATATTATTGTTCAACTGTAAATATTCTACTTAGTTTTTCTTTTTACATAGCATGCTATAAATTTTTACGTAGCTCTTTCAGTTGCTCATCCTTATAGTTTAGCCTGAAGTTTACAATAAAAATGTACTTACTCTTCTTCCTATATTAAAAGTTTCTTTTCTACTTAAGCTAGAGGAAAGGTATTAAAATCAAAAGAATTAGTAAGATAGACAAAATAAAGAATAGTTTTTATATCGACTTTTGCTTAAGCTGTCAGTGTTGTGGTATAATTCTTTGCCATTGTTTCTTAGGTGTACACCAACCTGACATCTTGCCAAGCTCTTGGTAATATGTGTGTGATGAATATGAATTCTTATGACTCTGCCCTTGATGCATGTTGGCTGTTTCAGTTTATCTTTGAAAATACTGCTGGACTGAGCACTGTGCATTCCATTTCATTTTGGTAAGGACATTGTGATCAAGAAATGTCATTTTGACCAAATTCAATGTCATTGTATTCTCAAATACTACTAATAAAAATATTTCTTTCCTTTTATTAAAATGATTGTAATCGTCTGTAGGAGACAGAATCTTCCGTGGCTGTTTTATGGAGACCAGTCAGGACTGGCACCTCAAATACTCAGTAGTACACCTCTCCCTACAAATTTCAGTTTTAAAGGACAAAGCCAGGTACAAGACATTCTATTATTAGAGGATAACTACATTTTGATTTACAGCTTCAAAAAATAAGAAGAAAGTTACTATTACACTTTTATTCTGTAAGACTATTTTTAAAAATTTAGTTACTAGACTCAATATAAATATTAGCTGCTTATTGGAATTAGTGTGATCATTGCTGTCTTGCATGAGTATTTAGATGCTTCTGGGTTATGTGATTATAGCAGCAGGTCGTACTTGTGGAATTGAAAAGAGTATTTTCCATCACCAAATGGAAGGCAATCTATGTCATAAATCTCCACAATTTTAAGAAGTGCTTCAAAAGATTGATTGAGGCTCTGTGACATTTCCCAGCACTTTCCCAGTTCTAATTCTCACCTCTGTCTTTTTAACTTTCCAGAATGAAGAAATAATCCCTGCTCCTCACATTCATCCACCATTTAACAAATTTGAAAGGTGTTATCTGTCATGAGTGCTGCCCCTCAATTCTGAAATAGTAACCTTTATGCAAACAGCCAGTCCAGATGGTTTCGGTGTATTTAATCACAGAGATTGTTAGGTTAATTTAGATTCAAAATAAACATTGTTGAATTTAAGATTTCAATCAAAATCAGTCAATAATGAAAAAGAAAAGATTAGGCAAAAATTAAAATTTCTTTATAGAACATTATATTGCTTTCAGAAATATTTTACATTGTTACTGTTTTTCTTTAACCAGACTACAGAACTGAAGTTTGTTGCTGCTTCCTATGACATAAGGGGAAATTTTCTTAAATGGCAAACTTTAGAGGGAGGTGTTTTACAGGTAAGCAAGAGTCTAACTAAAGAATTGCCAATGTTCTTTATTTTGGGCTATGCCAGAGACAGACAGAAAAGACTAGATGTTGCTTGAAAAATACCATTTACATACTATAGATTTTTTTCTGATGTTTAAATTGGAATTTCTTAAAAGTATCTTACTAAGTTATGACTTTAATTTATAACCGAGATACTCGCTTAACTTTTCATTCCCTTGATACATTAGAGCATATATCCGTGTGAAAGCTAGCGAACTTTGACTCTTAAGCAAATGAAGTATTTGTGAGAGAGATTTATCAGCTGTATTTTTTTTCTGTAGCTTTGTCCAGACACAGAGGCAAGACTAAATGCTGCTTATTCTTTTGGAACAACCTATCAACAAAATGTAAGTTTGAGCTATATTATGCAGTCTATATTTTAGCTTTGTCTTTGAAAATATCACAGCAGTAATTGGAATAATATATAAATTTTTGAAATAATGTTTTTTTTGTTTTTTTTGTTTTTTGGTGCTGGGGATTGAACTCGGGTCCTTGCGCTTGCAAGGCAGGCCACCGAACCGCTGAGCTAAATCCCCGGCCCAATAATGTTTTTAATAGTAGTGAATTCTTTCATTAATTTTTACTAGATGGGTACAGAAATGCTAATTTAATTATCATGAAGAAACTACCTTGTCACCTATAGAATCTTTTTTCTTTTTTTTTTTTAATTGAGTTTATTGGTACATTTTAGGTATACAGCACAGTTGCATTCATTATTGGGATCTTGTACCTTTACATGACGGGTCTTGGTTCTCATTTTTTCCCCTTGTCCCTGCCCTCCCTTCACCCCCAGAATCTTTTTTCTTTTCTAAAAAAGTGCTGGGATTTAAACCCAGGGTCCTTACTCATACTAGCCAAGCGCTCCACTACTAAGCTCTATAACCCTAGAGTCTAACGTCCTACAGTGTTAGAAATTCATAATCAGTTATCTGCTTCTAAGCTTAAAGGTCTTAAAAACTAACACAACTTCTGAGCATTTAGAGATCAAGTTTAAAATACTGCTTCATTTTTAGTGACTAGTGAGTATGACACTTCCTCTTTACTCTTCTCCCATGAAACAGCAAAAACACATCCTTTTCTCTTCCTTCACACTTTCCCCTCTGTCCATCTCTTTCATTCTCTTTCTTCCCCTGAGCTTTTGTTTTAAAATTATTGTATTATGCAGAGGAATATTGTAAGCCCTTAAACATTTGAAAGGCATTCAGAAGTTTATAAAATTGCTTCCTGCTAAAGTGTATTCACACATACATAGAACAAAACCACAGTGAAAAATACAAGCATGGAGTATAGGTTGGAAGGAAATGAACATTTTTAACATTGATTATCTTTGAATGATTGGATTAGAGATGAATTTTGTCTTTTTATATTTTCTAAATTCTCTACCATGAACAAAAATTTCCTTTTTTTTTTTCGCCAGAAATTATTTTGTTGTTGTTTGTTTTTTGGTACCAAGGATCAAACTCGGGACCTTGCACTTGTGAGGTAGGCAGTGGCACCACTGAGCTAAATCCCTGGACTTGCCAGAAATGATTTTTATGTTGTTTTGTTTGTTTTCTAAAAAGAAATGTTATTTTGTGTCTCCTATGAGTTCATAGAGTCAATACTTGTTAAGTATCGCTGCTGTTTGCTTAGTATTTTATCTCATTTGATCCATAAAATAACTGAGATACTGATTGTCTGTGCTTCACTGATGAGGAAATAGTGTTCAGTAAGATTAGATAATTTAGTCAATCTTGCATCAGGTAAACTCGGGAGCCAGTGTTCAGTTAGATTTAAAACCATGAGAGTCCACTGAATCTGGCCATTCTTCACACAGTTCACAGCCCAATAGACAAAACAGTCAAGTAAAGAATTGTGAAGAATGTAAGTGTTGTACTGTAGATATGTATAAGATACCAGGGTAGATTCCTGGGGTAGCGCAAAAATGCTTCACAGACGGAGTGATACTTGCGCTTGTATAATGAATATGAGTTGAACAGAAGAGCATACTAGGGAACAAAATGCCAGGCAGAATCCACATTTGCAATGTCAGAGAGACAGAATGGCATGGCATAGTTAGGAACTGCAGTAGATTAGTATGAATGGACAACTGTAGACTGGTAGGGAGCAATAGAAAATAAGCTTACTCTACTGGGGTTAGCCAAATCACATATTGTTCTATATCAGCAGAAAGAATTGAGACTTTATCCCATTGGACAGGAGAAGTACTTACACTTTTTCAGTCAACTATGCTTCATATCCACAATGAAGGCATTTCTTCTTCATAAGTATTATAGGTCAAAATCAGAACAGTCTTTTTGTTTTTATTGTTTTGAGACAGGGTCTCGCTATTTACTTCAGACTGGCCTTGAACTCTTGGCAAGCCTCCTGCCTCTGCCTCCCAAGTTCTGGGATTACAGCTGTACTATTAAGGTTGTTTTTTTGTTTTGTTTGGCTCTTATAAACGAATCATATTTATAAATTTATATTTTGGAAGTTATATACAAATGCATGTAAACAAGGTAGTTTATTTTCCATAACTAAAAAAGCACTATTTTAGAGATAAAAAATGTTTATTTTCATTTGTAATGCTTTTACTTTTAATTTTATTTTTCAGTGTGAGATTTCTCTTTCTAAGATCCTAACTGACTTTCCCACTCCTGTATTTTATGATATTTACCTTGAATATACTGATGAAAATGAACAACAAAATATTTGGGCTGTACCTGTGTTAAACTTAAATCTTCAACACTACAAAATGTTTGTGAATCAAGGTAAGATAGCTGCCATACTTTCATTCTTTCTCTGAGCTGAAATAAACCAACATTATAATTTAATAAACCACTGATTATAAGAAAGTCCATGAATTCTCTTATTACATAGCTTTATACAGTATACCAATGAGATTGCTATTATGTTTAGGGATTTTTACAAATTTCATTGTCAGCCCTATTGTTAAGAAATTATATTGTTGCTACATGCTGGATGTCATGGTACATGCCTATAATCCCAGCACTCAGGAGGCTGAGGCAGGTGGGTTGTGTTTAGTTCAAGGACAGCCTGAGCTACATAAGTTAAGGGCCATCCTGAATTAGATAACAAGACCCTGTCTCAAAAATACCAAAAAAAGAAAAAGAAAAACAGCCGGGCATGGTGGCTCACACCTGTAATCCCAGCACTCGGGAGGCTGAGGCAGGAGGATCGCTATGAGTTTGAGACCAGCCAGGACTACATAGTGAGTTCCAGGTCAGTCTCAACTACATAGTGAGACCCTGTCTCAAAACAAAACAAAACAAACAAAAAAACCAAAAAAAAGAAAAAGAAAAACAAATCATTATGCTATTGCTAAGAGTATATTCTGAGACAGCTAGTTATGTATCTCAGTGGTAGAGCACTTGCCTGAAATGAACAAGATCCTAGTTTAATCTCCAGAACTGAAAAAAAAAAAGTATATCCTGAGAAAATTTGTAAAACTATAAATTGAGGCTTTTACTTTAAGTTGTCTTTGACTTACATTTTGGACAAATTAATTTACATGTTACCCATAGTATAAAGTCTGACTTTTCCAGGTAATTTGCATTCAGATTAATGAAAAGTTCAATCAGTCAGAAGACATTCAAGTGAGATAAAGGATATTATCAGGAAATTTCTTTGAGCATTTGCTCTTTGAAGATTTTTCTAAAATTCCATCTTTTTCTTTTTATAACAAAAGACAGTAGCTCTAGCAAGTGGCTTCTGACTCGGCGCATTTTCTTAGTGGATGCAGTAAGCGGACGGGAAAATGACTTAGGAAATCAGCCAAGAGTAATTCGAATTGCTACCCAGATATCACTGAGGTAAGCAAATATATAATTAGATGGCTAAATTAGGCTTGGAATGTTTGGGGAAAAGTTACAAAGAAAGTGCTTGCCAGTAGTTATCAGATAAAAACAGTAAGGACAACTGAGTTACAATAATGCATAAGATTTTCTTAGATATCTGTATAGGTTGGCATAGACCAGTAACAGTAAAAAGATGAGGGGGACGAGCCTGAGGAGCCAGGTTAAAATTCAAATTCTGGACCACACTCCACACATGCTGAATTATAGGGGTTGAAAGAGCAGGCGAGGTGAGAACCTGTGAGCTGAAATGGGTACTTTAGAAAGAGCCGGATAGATGATTGTTAGTAGTTTGGCCTCCTCCACTTCATTTCCTTTAATGGATATTCTAGGTTGAACCAGATTTTAGGTTGACCTGGGCTAGATACCCTGTGATCCTAACTTTAGAAAAATACCATGCAGCCCATATTTCTCTTTCTTTTCCAGCATGAGATTCCTATCTCCAAGATTTTAACTGACTTTCTACTCTTTTTTTTTTTTTTTTTTTGTACCAGGGATCGAACTTGGGACCTTGCATTTGTGAGGCAGGTGGCAGCACCAAGTTAAATCCCGGTCCTCTAATATTTTATAATGTGTACCTCAAATACACTGATAGAAATTAGTGCCTTCCTGTTATATGAATCTGGCATTTTGAAGCATCTCAGTGGACACTATATTTTTTCACTGTTATTTCATTTTGATTTTCATAATATTCTGATGAAGTAGATAGCACAGAAACTTTGTCATATAACTTGCTGAAATCTCAGTGTATTGTTTTCAGCCTTCCCTCAGTCTGATACTATAGTATCCCTAATGAAAATGAAACCAAACCTAGTCAGGCTTCACTTGTTCTTGATGAAAGCCTGCTAGCATTTTTTCCTTTGTGGACTGAGACTCTCCAGCACTAATGCATTCTTCTTGGCAAAGTGTACCATACTTCATGCCTTAGACAGTGCTAGATGTGACATCTACTTTGTTTGAGGTAATTTTCTCTTTTGAAAATGAGGATATTGCCTGCCTTTCTTTAGGCATCATGTAGCTCTGCTCTTTTGAATATTCCTTAAAGATAGTTCACAGTGCTTCGGTGATTCATTCATAAACTTTGTAGCACCTGAATCCGAACAGTTTCTCATTTGTCTCAGAGACTATACTTTCACATTAAAATTTTGACACAATGAAGATTAGCCCAAGTTGCTGCCATTAGTTTTTGTTTAACCTTCCCTAGTCCCTGTTAACTGGTCAGAACCAACCAGTTATAGAAGTCATTATGACAGTCTATATTACATTTTTTTTAAATGACAAATATTGGTCTAAGGGCCTATATATATTTGTAACTATAAATGTATTTTCTTTTAAATAGCATCCACCTTGTACCTGACACAAAAAATGGAAACATATACCCTCCCTTAATCACAATCGCCTACAGTGACATTGACGTCAAAGATCCCTACAGCCAATCTGTAAAAGTGAGTTCTTTGTTAATCAGTGAGCTTGTAAATGTAAGTAAAGCATTAATGTCATTTATATAATATTGAAAAAGTCCCACTTTCGAGTTTTAAACAAGCCTTCTCTTTATATAGTGAAGTCTTAATTAGTTTTAACTAACAGTAAGAGGTAAGTTCTCACAGATCTTGAGTGTCAAAAAATAAGGATGGATTAAGTGTTTTACTAGCGGAGTCACATCAGTTGAGCATCCCTGTTAGGGATCTCGGCTATGCTGAGATCTATCTATACTGTTTGCTCCTGTCCTTTTGGCCACTTTGCTTCTAGTCTTCTTATCTAATTTAGCCAGAAACTCAAGATTTGGAGTGGACATATTGTGCTTGCCAATGTGCTAGCCCATCAGATAGAGACATTTCAACAGGCAAAAAGAGCTTTATATAATTAGCTTTATAACTAGTGGCGCTAAAGTGAATTAGAGAATGTAGTTTGGACCTGCAGCCTCAATTCACTCCTGAACTGAAGACCTTCCACACCTAGGAGGGCATGTGTGTGGAAGAGAGAGACTTCCTGTATCCCAAAGGCAGGGCACACGTGCTTCGTTCCTTCTTGCAATCTCATCAGTCAGCGCATCCCTGCCTCGAGGAGTAAATAAGAAGAGTGATAGAGATAAAAATGAGAAGTAATCCTTCTGTGCTCTTGTTCTCCTCCAGAAACTAAGTGGCTATTTCCTTCCTTCTCTGGAAACATGAGAAGTGGGGAGAAACATCATCTCCAAGACTCACATATAGGTTTTCGTTTCTATTATTTAAAACTTGGCTGAATTTTGATGTTTCAGTTCCTGTAGCCAGAGCTTTTGGCTGCTCTGTTGTGCTGTACTTGTACTCAGCTGCTATTGGATTCAAGCTTTAATTAAGTAAGATTAGGCATACAATATAACTTTTCTCTTAAAAATTTCCTGCCCTGGGCCTGGGATGTAGCTCAGTGGTGCCCACCTGCCTGGCAAGCACAAAGTGCTAAGTTTGATCCCTGGTAATACACACACACACAAAAAAAAAATTCCCGTCTTCACTTGTATTACTCAATACCTTGCTAAAATTAGTTTCCATTGACTAAGCTTACACCATATACACTGTAATGAGAGACCAAAACCTCAGAAAATGTGCTTAAGTAACAACAAAAGCCTGCTTGGTTTAAAATATCTTGTAATTATTCACGGATAGCATAGAGTGTACTTAGGGTAATACTAAAGCACTTCTGAATCTTTCCTTTAAACTAAACATAATGCTTGTCCAAAATGTTCCAAACAAACTAATGACAAATTGAAAAATAAAAAATAGAAAAAGAGTTGAAAGAAGCGTGCAACTACTCAAAAGTCCACTTTAAATTTATTCTAATTGTGAAATGTACAGTTTTTCATAGTCTTTAAATTGCCTGTGGCAGCTATTGCAAATATTTACATCAGTTTTAAGCATCTGGCTGTGTCTCTGCTCTCTCACCCACAGAAAAATAAACTTGGCTCCTGTTTTACTGAGCAGACCAAGACTATCTGCTCTGATTCCTTCATATTAATACCTCAGGATCTCTGTGTTTTGTTACCTTCCTCATTCATTATTCCCGCTGCTAAGAAAAATTCTCTCCTCCTATCCTAGGCTTATCTTCTACTTGTACTTACATATTTACAGGACATGATCCAGTATCCTATTTCACCACAGTACCTTGTTCAGCTGCCCTCTCTTCTAGTTCCTTTCTTTTGCTTATAAACTTTCAGGTTGGATCACAAGTGCAAGCTTATCCTGAGCAAGTTAGTCCCAAAAAAAACGTTTTTTTTTTATACCAGGGATCAAACTTAGGTCCTTGCACTGTGAGGCAGGCAGTGGTGTCTCAAAATTTTAAAAAGTTAAAAAAGGATTGGGGAGGTACCTCATTGTGAAGGCCCCAAGTTCAGCAAACAAACAACTCCTTAAAATGAACTATAACAACCAACTATCCAATCAAAATTATTTTTATCTCAATTTTGAAAGCTCCTTAGTTTGGCATGAGATTTCTTTCTTTCATTCCCCAACCACTTACTTTCATCCTTTTCAGTCTGACTTGACATTTTACTCCACTAAAAATCTCTCTTATGGAGATCAGCAATGGATTCCGCATATAGTGGCATTATTTCTCTTTTAACTTGACATTTGTGCCATATCACGTTGTACTCTTGACCCCTTCCTTCCCCCTTTCTGAAATTCCCTATTCTGTGACCATGGTAAGACCTAAGTAGCTGCCTCTCCTGCCTCTCAAGGTCCTCTTTTCTTACCCTTTATTGCTTCTTCTTTCTCTTGTCACTTAAGATAGTGGCATCCCTAAAATTCTTCCCCCCCCATTGAGTTTATTCTTACATTTTATGTATACAGTACAGTTACATTCATTATTGGGATCTTGTACCTTTACATGACAGGTCTTGGTTCTCGTTTTGTCCCCACACCCCTGCCGTACCTTTAGCCCCTCCCCTCCCCATTTACAAACATTTTATTTCCATTTTTTCATTTTCTCCTATTTGTTTCCTTTCCCTTATTACCTTTCCCCTACCCTTCCCACTTTCCCTACACCTTTAGCCCTTTTCTTCCTATTTCACATTGTCAATTATCTCATTAGGATTTTATGTACTATTATAGTTTATTCATACCAGAGAAACTATTCGGTATTTACACATGTGTGATTTATTTATTTCACTTAGGAGTATATCCTCAAAATATATCCATTTTCCTATGAATGAATTTAATTTCTCATTCTTTATGGCTGAGTAGTATTCCATTTTATAGAAAAACCACTTCTTCTTTATCCAGTTTCCAACTGATGGGCAAATGGGCTGTTTCCAAGTTTTAGCTATTACAAACTGCTGCTATAAACATAGGTGTGCATATATCACTGTGATATGATTCTTTTAATTCTTTTGGAAAGATACCCAGCAGAGGGATGGCTGGGTCAAATGGAACCTCTAGTCCCAGCTCTTTAAGGTATCTGCATATTGATTTCCGTAGTGGTTGCACCAGTTTGCACTCCCACCAACAATGGAGAAGGGTTCCTTTCTCCATACAACCCTGCCAACATTTGTTATTGTTTGATTTCTTGATAGCAGCCATTCTTTGTGGGGTGAGGTGGAATGTCAGTGTTGTTTTCATCTGCACCTCTCGAATGACCAGTGATGTGGAACATTTTTTCATATATTTACTTGCTGCTTTTCCTTCTTTGTGTGAGAAATGTCTGTTCATTTCAGATGCCCATTTTTGAATCGGGTCCTTATATTTTGGGGGGCTGATTGTTTTGAGTTCTTTATATATTCTAGATAATAGCACTTTGAGGAGCAGCTGGTAAAAACTTTTTCCCACGTTGTAGGTTGTCTCTTAGTTCTGTTGATGGTTTCTTTTGCAGTGCAGAAACTTTTTAATAAGATGAGATCCCAGATGTTAATTCTTTCTGCTAGTTCCCATGCTGCTGAGGGTTTATTCATAAAGTCTTTTCCTATGCCAATGTCTTCAAGAGTTCTGCCTAACTTATCTACCAGCAAGTTTAGTGTTTCTGTTTTAATATTTAGATCTTTAATCCACTTGGATTTTAATTTAGTGCATGGTGAAAGATAAGTGTCTAGTTTTAATCTTTGGCAGGTTGAGATCCAGTTTTTCCAACACCATTTATTAAAGAGGCTATCCTTCCTCCAGTGGGGACTGTCAGCTCCTTTGTCAAAGATGAGGTAGCTGAGTGCACCTGGAGTTGTTTTTGTGTCTTCCAGTCTGTTCCACTGATCCTCAGGTCTGTTTCTTTGCCAGTACCACGCTGTTTTTATCACAGTGGCTTTGTAGTATAGTTTTAAATTGGAACTTGTTATACCCGCTGCCATGTCTCTGTTGTCTAGGATGGCTTTGGCTATTCTAGGTCTCTTCTGGTTCCAAATGAATTTTTGGATTCTTTTTTCTAGTTCTGTGAAATATAGTGTTGGAATTTCAATTGGCATTGCATTGAATCTGTGAAGCAGGTTTGGTAGTATGGCCATTTTCACTGTGTTGATTCTTCCTACCCAGGAGCAGGGGGACATCTTTCCATTTTCTTATATCCTCTTCGATCTCTTTTTTCAGAGTGCTGTAGTTTTCAGTGTAGAGGTCTTTTGCTTCTTTTGTTAGATTGATTCCTAGATACTTCATTTTTTTGGATGCTATTGTGAAAAAAATTGTTCCCCTAATTTCTCTCTCAGTGAGTCTGTTATTTGTGTATAAGAAGCCTGTTGATTTTTGGGTGTTGACCTTGTATCCAGCTACTCTGTCAAAAGTGTCAATTAAGTCTAGAAGTCTTTTGGTGGATTTTTTTGCATCTTCAATGTAGAGTATCAAATCATCTGCAAATAATGACAGTTTAACTTCTTCCTTTCCTATCTTTATTGCTTTAACTTCTTTCTCTTGTCTAATTGCTATGGCTAATGTTTCCAGAACTATATCAAAGAGGAGTGGTGATGGTGGGCATCCTTGTCTTGTTCCTGATTTTTAGCTTGAAGGTTTTCAGTTTGGGGCCATTTAATATGATGGTGGCTGTTGGTTTTTCATAGATAACCTTTATTAAGTTGATATTTCCAATTTTTGCAGGGTTTTTATCATGAATGGGTGTTGAAGTTTGTCAAATGCTTTTTCTGCATCTATCAGGAGGATCATATGTTTTTTGTCCTTGAATTTGTTAATTAGTGTATTACATTTATTAACTTACTTATGTTGAACCATCCCTGCATCCCTGGAATAAATCCGACTTAGTCAGGATGGATGATCTTCTTGATGATCCTCTGTATTCTGTTTGCTAGTATCTTATTAAGGATTTTTGCATCTATATTCATTAAGGAGATTGGCCTGTAGTTCTCTTTTTTAGTTGGGTCTTTCCCTGGTTTGGGAATCAAAGTGATACTTGCTTCCAGGAATGAATTTGGAAGTATTGCTTCCCTTTCAATTTCATTGAAAAATTTGAAGAGTAATGGCAGTAGTTCTTCTCTAAATGTCTTTTAAAATTCAGCAGTGAATCCATCAGGATCTGGGCTTTTCTTTGTTCATAAATTTTACATTTTCAATTTCACTGATTGTAATTGGGGCGTTTAAAATGTTTTTATCTTCTTTGTTCAACTTTGGTAATTCATAAGTATCTAGAAATCTGCCCATTTCTTCTGTGTTTTCCATTTTATTAGAGTACAGGTTCTCAAAGTAGGTATTGACTGTCTTCTGGATTTCTGTTGGATCTGTTGTGACTTCACCTTTTTCATTCCTAATTGCATGGATCTGAGCCTTTTCTTTCCTTTTTTTGATAAGATTAGCTAAGGGTTTATCAATTTTATTTATTCTTTCAAAAAACCAACTCTTCGATTCATTTATTTTTTTGTATCATTTTCTTAGTTTCCATTGCATTGTTTTCTGCTCTAATCTTTATAATTTCTTCTCTTGTTCGAGCTTTGGGTTTTTCTTGCTCTCATTTTTCTAGGAGTCTAAGGTTCATCTTTAGGTTATTTGAGCTTGCTGTGTTTTCCTAGTGTGGGCATTCAGTGCTATGAATTTTCCATGTAGAACTGCTTTCATTGTGTCCCATAGATTCCTGTATGTTTTATTGGCATTTACATTTATTTGTAAAAAACTATCTGATTTCTTCTTTAATTTCTTCTGTGATCCATTGATTGTTCAAAAGAGTGTTTTTCAATTTCCAGCTGTCTGTGAAGTTCCTACGGTTTCTTATGCTATTGATCTTTAGCTTATCCCAAAAATTCTTGTTCAGACTTTTGAGTAATCTGCCTTCTTCGGATATATGATTGTTTGCTAAACTCTCGGTGCGCAAGTTCAGTCACATTTGTAAGTTACCGAAACCTGTCAGAAAATGAAATAATCATTATTTCAGGTTGAATTGGTGATAATGAATTTAACTTACCTTCTAGTTAACCACTTTCTTTTCAGGTGCCTTTAAAACAGCCCAAATAATTCTCATTATCCATGTACTTGTAATAGTCAACTCTAGTTATATAGCCATATAGTTAAAATGTAGCATTCATGGTAAATCTAGCTGCTAATGTATTTCTATGATAAAAGTAGGATTGTGTTATATAATTTTAATATGGCTGATTTGTTTTCTTTTAAACATCAGATTTCTTTCTCAGTCAAATATGAAATGAATCAAGGAGAAGCATTTATCCAGACAGATGTGAGTACATTTTAACACGGGGAGGTGGGGAGACAGAGAAAGAGAGACACAGTGTGTGGGGGGCGTTTGAGGCACTGGTTATGGAACCCAGGGCTAGGGAGGTGCTCTACTGCACTGCACTCCCAACCCAACAAATTAATTAATTTTTAACTAAAAATTTGTTTCTAATGTACAAGAAAGTTGTCGAAATAGATTTGCCATATACTCTTACCTGATACTCCCTAATGTTAACATCTTATATCACCACAGTGGTCACTGTCTTTTTTCTGTTTTAGGACTGAATCCAGATTCCAGCATTTGTCTTTTATGGCCATAACACTTTTGAGTTGTTAATTATTTTGACCCTCAATTTGGATTTGTCTGACATTTTCTTGTAATTAAGTTCCTGTAGGGCCGGGGATTTAGCTCAGTGATTCTGCTGTTGTGGAAGGAATCAGTAAGTGACACACAGAGAGGCAGCAGAATGGAAGTAAAATAATAAATTTACTTATGGATAAGGGTCGATCACACATAAGCCATGCCTGGATTGACAACACGCTGGGTTACAACTCCTCCTTTTGTAGGGTTTTACAGCCTTGACTTCATTTGGGTGGTTACATTTCATTCTCACATTTCAAATCACAGTCACAGAATAATTAATCTTTTCAACCCAGACGTAACAGTTCTTTGCAGTTGGGGAGTTTACCTTTAAGATTCGCCTAGTTATCTATTCTATTCCATAGGAAGGGGGGTGTTCAGGGTCAGGGGGGCAAATGTTAGCAATGGGTTCTTTCATTTAGACACGTTTATGGTCATGTGGCTCCAGTCTCATCGGAGCTCAAGACCTTGATGTGTCCTGTTATCTCAGGGTCAGACCAAATGCCTCATTCAGCCATTAGTGTCTTTGGTGCCTATTAGTTTTGAGCTGTTAGAAACAGCAGAAGCCATTTTACATTGTAACACTTTATAGGTTCTTGCTACTTATAAAAGTTTTCCCTATCAATGCTGTAGAGGCACAGCCATTCCCAACAACTAGGCCACACACCGAGAGGTCCAACAGGAGATGTTATTCAGGAAGGCAGGTTAGGGAGAGGAGAGAGGAAAGAGAGAGAGAGAGAGGAGAGAACAAAGAAAGGAAGGTCCTTTTATTGGTTTGGGGCTGGGCTATTGCTTATTTATGAGGAGTGGGCTACTTTTAACCTATCACAGGCCAGGCTGTCTTTTATGGGTTCAGCCCTGCAGAAACTCGGGTTTAACTCCTCAGGACCGCTATGGCCTTGAGGGGAGGGAAACTCAAGATAAGAGCAAGAGGTCATTTTAAGAGCCACAAAGCACCAGGAGAATACAGCCTGTGGTGGTGGTGTCAGGTCCCTAACAACTGCCACCTGTCTCACAAGCACCAGGATTGGAGTTCGATCCCCGGTACCAAAAGAAAGAATCACCTGTCTCACAAGCACCAGGATTGGAGTTTGATCCCCGGTACCAAAAGAAAGAAAGAAAAGAAATTAAGTTCCTGTAGTTTGGGCAGAGGTATTGCAGAAATGATGCTGTGACCTTGTCAGGCCTTGTGTCAGGGGCCCTGTGACCTCACTTGTCGTACTACTGGTGCTGTTCATTTTGTCCATTTGGCTAAAATGATTTCTGCCAGACCTTCAACTCTGTTTTTTCATTTGGAATTATTAAGTATATCAGGGGAAATACTTTGAAACTATGCAAATATCTTGCTTCTCATCATGCTTTTACCCTTTCAGTTTAGTATCCACTCATGATCCTTGTCTGCAGAAAGTATTAGTATAGGATTTTTTTTTAAAGAATTTTTGAACTTTGATTTATAAATTAATTGCATAAACTACTAAACATAACACCAAGGAGTTCTTGGCTTCTATCCTTTGATTAGTATGGGATTTGCCTGCTGACATTTTTCTATTTCCCTAATTCCTTATGTATTCATGAATGGGAGATTTATTGTAAGGAAAAGTATTCCCTTGACCCATATTAATTCATTCAGTTATTAACTTAAATCATGCAAATTCACAGATGCTTATTTAGGTGATTATAATCCATTACTAGTTGGTTTTTTTTGGGGGGGGGCTTAAATTTTACTAAATTTGGCCATTAGGACGTCCCTCAGTTGGACTTCTGGGTGCTTTCAAAATGTCCCCCAATGTTTTTTGAACAATACTTACTATTTATAGTGCTTTTGAACAGTGATAAGAATAACTGTGTGAAGTGCCCTCTTTCTTGTTTTTTAGATTGCCTTGGGTGTGTTGGGCGGGCTAGCTGTTTTATCATCTCTTTTGAAGACAGCGGGGTGGAAGAGGCGCATTGGGAGTCCCATGATTGATCTACAGGTATGGTATTAGAATCTTTTAATACACATTTTTAATGTTAATTTTCTAGACAGCTAGAGGATAAATAAGATAATCGCCTTGTATTTTTCTAGGATGTAATTGGGATAGGTATTGCTGGGTCATAGGGTAAATGCACACCTCATTTTCTTCCCACAGTGCATGGATCTGCCTGCTTCCCCTCAGTGCCTCTCCTGTTTCTGATGGTTTTTGTTCTGCCAGTCTTGGTGTTCCCAACCTTTCCATGTTATGGCCATTTCAGTGGTGTATATTAACATGTCATTGTTGATTTCTTTTTCATGGTACTGCAACTTGAACCCAGGGCCTTTGTACTGAGCTATTCTGTATCCCCGGCCCTTTTGTTTATTGGTACAATCTAGGTATACAATACAATTACATTCATCATTGGGATTCTGTACCTTTACATAATAGGTCTTGATTCTCATTTTTTCCCCTTGTCCCTGCCCTCCCTTCACCCCCTCCTCCCCTCCCCATTTACAAACACTTTATTTCCATTTTTTCAGTTTCTCATATTTGTTTCCTCCCTTATTACCCAGCCCTTTTCTTTATTTTTAATTTTTAGACAGGGCCTCACAAAGGCACTAAATTGCGCTGGTTGGGCTTGAATTTGTGATCCTTCTGCTTTAGCCTCTCAGAGCACTGGGATTAGCAGCCTGCACCACCACACCCAGCTGACCTCATTTTCATTTCTTTTGTTATTATTCATACACATTTTAATCATTTTTATTTCCCCTTTTCTGTGAGCTGCCTGTTTAAATCCCTTGCCTATTTTTCCATTAAGTTTCCAGTATTTTTTTATTTGTAAAAATTTGTATTTTCTAACTATAAATCCTTTTTTTATGTTGTAATATTTTCTTTAAATATGATCTATCTATTCTTTATATTCATGTAGCCCTTTGTTTTGTTTTGTTTTGTTTTTTGGTACTAGGGATCAGACTATGTGAGGCAGACAGCTGAACCACTGACCTAAATCCTTGGCCCATGTAGCCCTTTGTTTAATGTAAACTTTGAATTATCTTAGCATCTACTAAACACCTACTGTGTACCTGTGTACCAGGCACTTTTTTTTTTTTTTTTTGGTACTGGCATTCTGCTGCCTGCTTTGAAAGCATAAGGTCCTGAATTCCATCCCCAGTACTGAAAAAAAAAAAAATGTTTTGCTTATGAAGAGCTACAAATCAACATATCTTCTATTCCAAAATCAGTGTACTAAGAAATCAGAGCAGCATGGTTAAGATTTACTGCTGTGAGAAGTCAAGAAAGGCTTTCCAGAGGAGTGAGCTTTAAACTGGTTATCTGTTCATTCCGCAGCCTTCTCTGAGGGCCAAGTATCTGAGGGCCCGCTTAGAAGTGTGAAGTGGTTAATTTGAAGTTGTTCAGAAGTAGCACCTGAGGATGAATAAAAAGTTAACTTTGGTCCATGATATGAAGGACCTGGGGGATAAAGAATTCATATTTTAACAAGGAGGAGTCCTTGTATCTTTTTAAGAAAAAGAATGACACAATACAATTTACATTTTAGAAAACCAAGGCTTGTGAAAGTATGGGGGATAGATTGGGGTTGGGCTTCCCAACTGAGATTTGGAATAGTTTCCACTTTGTTAGGTAGAAAAAGATGAGATGTCTTGAATGGAGACAGAGGCTGCTGGAATGGAATGAACAGTAAGGATCCAAACAGAAGATGTAGAAGGAGGCTCAGTGCCTTTATCCCTGGGTGATACATGGGAACAAAGAAGAAGGCTTGAGGCTTGAGAAAGTGGGTGGAGGATGCATTCTTAAAAGTGTTGGTGTTGATAAAAGTGGTAAATAGAGTCTTTAACAGCTGTTATTCTTTTTAAATTGCAGACCGTTATGAAGTTCTTGGTGTACTATGCTGGCAATCTGGCCAATGTCTTTTTTATCGTCACAATGGGAACAGGTCTTTATTGGCTTATTTTTTTCAAAGTAAGTATTTCTGAATTTAACTTAAATGTCAATATATAAATAACTGGTTAGCACTCTTTATAATAACAGGGAACTACTTTTACTTTGGAGCGTTTCTGGTCAGGAGTCCTGAGGCTGCCTGGAGGTATAGCTGTTTGTGCACAAGACCTTGGATTAGATCCCAAGTACCATGAAAAGTCTTGAGGGAAATCCTGAACCCACTGTCCCGAGTGTGCATTGACTGAGTACATCAGTATCTCCCGCTTTTACTCTGTCTTAGCTTCTAATTTGTGTTTAATAAAAGCTTTGTAGACTTTATTGACCAAGTAATTTTGTCATAGGCACAGAAGTCTGTATCTGTTTTGCTGCCAGTGCCAGCTCAAGAAGAACGCTTTGTTACTTATGTGGGATGTGCTTTTGCTCTGAAGGTAAGTTTCAGAATCAGGGACTGAACTTCAAAGGCTCACTGATAAACTAGTAAGCCTTAAAAATCAAAATGCTTTCAAAATCTTTGATGTAAAATTTACTTTGACTTTTAAGCATGAATTATTTCATTTTACCTAGGAAGTCTGTTTGTATTTGTAATAGTTCACTGAAAACAATTTTCCTTAAATAGTTTTTTTCAAGAAAGCTATAAATGTGTTTGGATTCTCATGAGTTGTAGCTAATTTGACAAAAAGTGATATTTGGTGTATAACTTTCTTCCTTAAAGTCTGATGATGCATTCACACCATGATACTCTTTGTTCATTGAGGGTAAAGGGTAACACTCCGGTTCAAGTGCTGAAATCATAGATGTTGTTTAATCCCCATAATGTATTCCCTTCCTCCTCCTCTTCCTATGGCAACCCCTCCCCAACTTCCCTGTACTGAAGCTTTTTCCTTGCCCCTGTGGCAGGAATCATCCCATTGTATTGTGATGGGTAGATGTCAGCTATTTCTAGAGCTCCTTGAGAGTGATCGCCCCATTCTTAGGTTTTTATTCTCTGCTTAATCAGTAATGCATCTACTGAGAAGAATGCTCAGTTTAAATGGACTGCTCCTGTAAATGAGAAAGTTGTGTTTCAGCAACACAATTTTGAAAACCTGAACATTCAGTACCAGAGATAAAAAAGACAGTGGAGAGCATCCTGCAATTTTACTTAAGGTTACAGTTGAAAATGTATTTTCACTTATAAAGAAATCACATGATCACAGCACCTGAGAAAAAAGTGTCAGTTAATTAGGCAAGGCTCCTATGGAGGGAAGAGGAAGGGTATCTGCATTTCTTTCATATTCCCATTTTAAAGAAAGAAAAAAAGGAAGGTGAATTTATAGATGTATGGTATCTTATAAATTTGGAGATTCCGGTTTATTTGATGAATTCCTAGTGAACCCCTAATGGTATTATGCCTTATGTGAAGTGGCTTGTTACATTTTCTTGTGATTGCAATGTGTTTCTTTCTTGGGTTTGTTTGGTTTTTTTGTTTGGTTTTTTGAGGTTTTTTTTGTACCAGGGATTGAACTTAGGACCTTGCCCTTATGAGGCAGACGGTGGCACTATTGAGCTAAATCCCTGGCCCTATAATATGTTTCTTTTTTTTTCTCATTGAGTTTATTGGTACATTTTTAGGTATACAGTACAGTTACATTCATCAGTGGTATCTTGTACCCTTACATGACGGATCTTGGTTCTCATTTTTCCCCTTACTCCTGCCTTCCCTTTACCCACTTCTCCCTTCCCTATTTACAAATACTTCATTTCCATTTTTTCATTTTCTCACATTTTTTTCTTTTCCCTTATTTCCTTTCCCCTACCCTTCCCACTTTCCCTACACCTTTAGCCCTTTTCTTCCTATTTCACATACAATGTGTTTCTTAAAGAGTTAACATTGGTTTCATAAGCAGGCTTAATGCTGGTGGTTTTCATTTGTATTATTATATGTTATTCTCAGGCTCTGCGATTTTTGCATAAACTCATATCCCAGATTACCATAGATATATTCTTTATTGATTGGGAGCGGCCTAAAGGAAAAGTTCTTAAAGCTGTTGAAGGTAATTGAAATGAACATTTGTACCAGAATTATTTTGCTACCCTGACAGAGCAGATGAGGTGGAATGCTTTTACTCATTTTCTCCCCTTGACCAGGTGAAGGCGGTGTACGGAGTGCCACTGTTCCTGTAAGCATTTGGAGAACATATTTTGTAGCAAATGAATGGAATGAGATTCAGACTGTGAGGAAAATTAATCCACTCTTTCAAGTACTTACTGTTGTCTTCTTTTTGGAGGTATACAGTGTTTGATATAATTCTGTGCAACTTACTGATGATTTGTAAATGTTAATATAATTCTAAGCTAGTTTTCATGACAGTGGAAGAGTTTTTTTTACATGTTTAAACATTATTATCAGGGCCGGGGATTTAGTTCATGGTTCTACCGCCTGCCTTGCAAGCACAAGGACCCGAGTTCAATCCCCAGTCCGAAAAATAAATAAATATTTTTAAAAAAACATTATTATCAAGACATTAAAAAGGAATGGCTTTAAAAAAAAAAATTGCAGTGGCCTTTTCCTTTCTTAAATAAATATTTTTAAAAAAACATTATTATCAAGACATTAAAAAGGAATGGCTTTAAAAAAAAATTGCAGTGGCCTTTTCCTTTCTTTTTTTTCCATAAATCAAAAAACATTTTTTAAATAAAATATTATAGTGAAATACTTAAACTTGCTACTTAGCCACTTTTAAGTGTATAATTCATTATTCATCATTGTGCATATCCCTCACCACCATCACTAAGACTCTTCATCTCGCAAAACTAAAATTCTCCTTGTTACACAATGCCATATAGTACTTCTTCCTCCTCTCCCTAGCTCCTGGCAATCACCCTCTCCTTTTCATCTCCATGAATTTGACCGCTCCAGGTGTAAAAGTAGATACTACATCACTAGTTTGTATCAGAATCACTGGTGGAACTTCTGTATTAAAAAACAAAATAAAACAACCTATGCACCTCATCCTTAGAGAGTCTGTGATTCTGTAGCGTTGAGGTGAGACTAGGTATCTATATTTTGAAAAATCCCCCTGTCCCTATAATCTGTATTCTCACCCTTCATTATAACTATAATTTTGTTTTGCTTTTTTGGTACAAGGGATCAAACTCGGGACCTTGCACTTGCGAGGCACCACTGAGCTAAATCCCTGGCCCCAGAACTACAATTTTTGTAAGATTTTTTTCAAGACCTTATTCCCGAACACCCACTTTAGACTATGTCCTGCACTAAAAGCTAGGGCTACAACTGAACAAGATGCAGTACATGTAAGAGCGAACTTGCAGTTATATCTTAGATCTTGACTGAATTGTGAAAAGAAGTGCTCTGCATTGGATAGGAGGTGGGTGCACGTAACAAAATTTCAGTACATGTAAGAGCGAACTTGCAGTTATATCTTAGATCTTGACTGAATTGTGAAAAGAAGTGTTCTGCATTGGATAGGAGGTGGGTGCACGTAACAAAATTTGAATGGGTGACAGATTTTCTCAAGAATTCCGTGTCAATAAGGTTAGATGTAAATTAACCCTTTTCTGTCTCCCTTCTATTGATCATCATCCTTTATTTTCCCCTTTCCTTTCATTTTTAAAGCTGGTAGAAGAATATGTGTTTCTATTTATAGTACTTCAAAAATTCATTTAAAATAGTGCTTTTTAAAAAATTGACAAGTAAAAATTGTAGCATGTTTATAGTATGAACATATTATTAATGCACGTATACACTGTAGAATGGTTAAATCAAACTACTTAACATATCTATTCCCTCACATTTTTCAAGGGTTTTTGGTGATAGTGTTTTTAAGAATTTCTGATATGATTTAAAAAGATGTTATGTGAAAAGGAAGTTTAATAGTCAACTAAGTTTATGAAACACTAGATTCAATAAAATCATGTAGAAACCTTACTGAAAACTTCTCATAGCCTTTATTCTACAAGAGTCAGAGTCATGTAGGTGAATATGATTATACAGACCAAATTTATTTAACCGTAAGTTATGTTCTTCGGAAGATAATTTTGAATATATTCTTCTAAAGTATAGAAAGTATTTAGTAGAGTACATGACACATGTTAAATACTCATTAACTGCTGGTTGTTAGTTTATTAGTAGTTTACTGAAAAAAGTTTTATACAGGGATCTAACTCAGGTCTTTGCGCTTATGAGGCAGGTGGCAGCACCACTGAGCTAAATCCCCAGCCCTAAAGTTTTATTCTTTTAATGGAAATGTTTGCGTTTTGTCAGTGTAAAGATAAAAGGATTATATTTGGCCTTTAATCATACTGAGGAAAAAAAAACAGATGTCCTAACTAAATATTTTTAATGGCTACTTCCTAATTAAAATACTAGATAATTATTTTTATCTAGATTTTCTACTGTTTTCAAATTTAGTTTTTTTAAGGTGAGAAGTAGATAAGTATTCCATTTGCAGTGTTGAAATGTTTTCTTTATCCATGTTTGTTTAAGTGATTTTTCCTTTTTACTTCAGATTGTGGGATTCAAGAACTTAGCCTTGATGGACTCATCCTCAAGTCTTTCTAGAAGCCCATCTAGCTACATACCTCCTTATAGCCGCATACTGAGGTATGCTGTGTCTACTACTCTTTGGTTGGTCATTGGAGTTGTACAGGCAAGTAGAGATTATACTTTTAAGTAATATTGCCTCTCTGTAACTACTTAAATACCAATTACCTTCAAACATTGACTTCATAGCAAAAAGATGACAAGAACAATACTAATAATAGCTAATTTCTATATTGTATTATAATCTAGGCACTGTGTTAATCAGTTAATTACACATATTAACTATTAATCTTTACCTAATTAGCCCTTGGAAATAGTTCTCTTAGCATCCTTGTTCATAGGCAAGGTAACTTGAGGCACAGGAAGATGAAATAATTGCCAGCTGGAGAACTGGAATTTGAACCCAGGCAGCTTGATTTCAGAGTTCTCATTCTTGTCATTAGTGTTCTGTGAAGGGTCTTTGAGACTCTACAACTTCAGAGTCACAGGACAGATCCCTTATCTGGTTTAAAAATAACTACAGTGACTGCCATGCTAAGCATTTTCTTTTCCTTTGCAACAGAGCTTATTGTTTACCTGTATTTACATATCATTAATCTCACTCAAATTGCTAGTACCTCTTGGGGAGTTTTCTCTGAACTGTGAATTAAATGGCCAGAACTAAATGCCAGTCAGTCCTTTCTGCCTCAGAGTCTTATGGCTCTGGCACAAGTTCTTTTCTATGTTTATTTTTCTTAAAGTTGAAAAAGTAGTAGGGAAAAAAGCATTTTAACTCTATCTGCACTCCCTTCTCTTGCTTTCAGATACTCCTATAAACATAAAGAGCTTTTTTTGTTTGATTAAGAATTCCTTGGGTCACAAGGGCAAGGTCCCAAGTTTGATCCTGGTACAAAAAAAAAATCCTTTAACTGTTACAATCAGCAAAGAAGATGGAACCCCTAGAAAGACTAGGTTTAACGTCTTATTCCCTGGCTAGTATCACCCCAAACCGCCTGTTTTTAAAGATCTTTTAGGATTAAAAGATCTCCCTCACCCCAACATTAAAGTTCTTTTAAGAGAGCTGCTGCTTCTTTTTTTTTCAAACATTAGCAAACTTTAAAAGGTAGGAAAAAATAGACCCTATAGAGCGAGGCTGGGCCAAGTGAAAGTAGGAAAAGAAGTGCACCTTGCAGCATGAGGCTGGGCACCATGCTAGAGGGAACACAGTGGCCAAGAGCTTAATCCTATACATCCAGATGGCATTTTATAACCTGAGAATTGACTTTGTAAGCTTACCTTTATTATAAATTGATGACATTTGTCCAAAATTGAAATTACAGGGATAGCGCTCATGAGGGAGAGTCAACACCCAGAAAAGGAGGACAAAGAGAAATTAGATTAGATGAGATCAAGAGTATGGGGTTTGATGTTTATCAGCAGTGTAATAGCAAGGAAATGTTTTCTGCCTATACCAGCATGTTTTGTGACTATACCACATTCGTCTGACTGTAGAGAATTTAAAGGAACACCATTGGAGGTTTGTCATATTTGGTAAAATATAACAAAACAAAACAAAATAGATATGAGAGGCTGAGATAAAGAGAACTTCATCTCACCCAAGAAGAAAAAGAGCAGAGGTCAGCAGTTCAGGACAGTGATGGCTCAGTGGTGTCATCAGGCCCAGGAGGCTGCTGTTCGGCTCAGCTGCAGGAGAATTCCCTCTGCCAGATCACCTTATCGTCCATAAGGGCTGATGCAGGACTGAGTCGGGGGAGACTAGCTCTCCGTCCTGTGTCTGAGTCTTTCAGAAAGGCCATTACACACCTCCTGGGCCAGGATTGTATCATGGTGGATGCCACCATCGAATGTCACTCTTTGCTTCTTTGCTAACATGCCAGGCAGGCATTTCTCTCCATGGCAGTGTTCTAAGAGCATCAGTGTTTATTCCTCAAGTGTCGAGTTCCTTTTATGACTTGTTCTGTTTTTTAAAAATGTGTCTGAACTCTTCTAGATTTTGGTAGTCAGCTAGGCTTCATTTTTCACTCCTTTCATTTCCCTAAACCCAGCATCTTCAACTTTTGTGTGGTATCATTTAACTTTTAAACGTTGCTGCTGTTTTTCTTGTTCTTCAGAGGGGTTTAGAAATATGCATGCAAAGTGTTTGGGATAGCCAGGTTTGGTGGCCTAACCTAGTAGGCCTAGCACTTGGGAGACTGAGGCAGGAGGATTGCAAGTTTGAGGTAGGCCCAGGGTGTATAGTGAATTCAAGATCAGCCTGGTTTACAGTAGAGAGACCCTGACTCAAAGATAATAGTGATAATCATCATCATCATTTTCATCAACTTTTGCATATTCACTTATTTATTCATTCCCATATATGACTGCATGTCCTAGACTGGACACTGTGTGGAGTGCATGGATGTGTTATAATAAGAACTAGACAAATGCCTTGAAGAGCCTCACCAGGGACCTGAGCTACTCAACAGGTCAACAGAAGCATGGCAAGTGGAGTCTGGGAATAGGGGACAGTGGTTAGGAAATGTTATCTTTCTCTGAAACATATCTAAAAAGGTATACAATGTGAAACTTTTTATTTATAAAATTTCCCACTGGGCCTGGTGGTGCACACCTGTAATTCTAGCACTCTGGGAGGCTGAAGCAGGAGAAATGCAATTTGCAGCCCACCCACGGAAACTTAGCAACTTAGCAAGACCCTATCTCAAAATAAAAGGGAATTGTAGTTCAGTACAAAGGCCCTGGTGCCAATCCCCAGAGCTAAGGGAAAACATTTTTTTCTTTCTAGTACTGTTATTAAATCTAACACTTGAAACCATTCCATTTGAACACTTAACGTAATTCCAGTAGTCAAAGTAGAAAACTAGACATTTTTATTTGCTATTCTGTCAGATTATTTGAAAAACAGAAGTTTTCTGAAGTCTTTGGGTATTTAGAAGATGAGCGTCCTTCCAAAACTAAACAAAAATCTGGCCATTAATGCATTAGTTTATCCTAAATTTCAAGAAGACCTTTTCTTTCTTCTCATATGTTTGTCTTACCTTGTTTTAGTGACACAGAAAAGTATTTAAAGTTCAAAATGGGCTGGGCTTTGTAGCACACAACTGTAATCCCAGCACTCAGGATGCTGAGGCGAGAGGTTTGAAGCTGCATAGCAAGACCCTGTCTTGAAAACATAAAAATAAAAATGGGCTGTAAATGACTTAATACAGTTCCAAAATCCTCCTTCCTTTGGTGGTAGAGTCAGAAATAACAAGTAGGATTCTATCCCATAGGAACCATTAGAGGCCACTACATTCTTGATTGGAGCTTCTTTTTTCTTAAAATACTACAGAGTGGCTATAAAAGAAAATTAAAATTTTATAAGCTAATAAGCATGAACTGGCTTTGATGTTTCAGATCGTGTTCTTTGCTGGCTTTTATGAGCGATTCGTAGAGGATAAAATTCGACAGTTTGTTGATTTATGCTCAGTGAGTAATGTAAGTACTTCTTGACTTTTTCTGGCAATCGTTACTTTTCCCCTTTTAAAAGTCACCCGTACATGAAGAGAAGCTTTAAAAGTGATTTGGTATGATTGGATTTTTAGCCTTAATTGTCCACTGGCTATTAAGTCCAAAGATAGTTATAATGAGTAACAAGTTAATAGTTAACTGCCTAAGTTCGTTTTTTGTTTGTAATATTTTATTATGAATTGTTTATGTTGCCAAATCATTCATCCTGTGGTCCTTGACAAATTTTTATATTTCAGAATTCCTTTCTTGGGAAGTGTTTTTAATATCCTGTCCATTTACTTTTAAAAATTATCCTTTTATATATGTCCAAGAATTCAATCCCATTCTTTTGGAAGAAAGAAAAAATTTTAAGAAAAACTTAATTTGTTATTTTGTAGATGAGTTGCTAATTGTTCCTTTTCTTTTTTTAAATAGATATCAGTGTTTTTGCTATCCTACAAATGTTTTGGATATTACATTCATGGCAGATCAATACATGGGTATGCGGATACTAATATGGAAGAAATGAATATGAATCTTAAAAGAGAAGCGGTATGAATGTATTTTATATCTTTTGGTTTTTAGGTTGGGAGATGAATTTTATTATTTTAGGATTTATGATGCTTTTAAAAATAACCCTTGTGGATCATTTTGGAAGGTTGTTAGGATACCAGTTTATACCCTGGACATAGGTAAAGAGAATCTAATTTTATCCTGCATATATTATGAACTATATTTCAGAGTAAACAGATGACACATGAGGGAAAGTTCTTCCTTAAAGAAGATATAGAGGGATTTTAAGTTAGAAAAATTACCATGATTAATAAATATAGGCTGCCATCATCAGTGGATGCTAAAACAAGTGAAAATGATGGGAACTTTATGATGAGGGATCAGACTGAAGTGAAGGTGAGGAGAAGGACAGTATAACATCATCAATGATGGTAGTGGAAGAAAAACTACATAGTAAGAGAGATTAGGAAACAAAATAATCAAAAGCACTGTGTGGGGGCCGGGGATTTAGCTCAGTGGTTCCAGCACCCGCCTCATGAGCACAAGAACCCAAGTTCAATCCCCAGTACCATGTGGACTTTGGATCCTGATTCAGACAGACCAACGATAACAAAAATGTTTGGAAGAATTCTAGAGATTCAAAAGTAACATATTAAAGAATGAATGAGTTTATTAGATACTATAATGGCATGGTAGTTTTTGTTTGCTTGAGACAAGCTCTTGATATGTAGTTCAGGCTGGCCTCGAACTCGAGGCGTTCCTCCCACCTCAGCTTCCCTAGTGCTGGGATTACAGGTATGCATCACCAAGCCCAACTTGATAGTCACTTTTTAAGTCTTTATTAGTTATAGATACAGAAGCATCTACAGATGAAATGACATGGTCTCTAGAGTCTTTTAAAATAAAAAAGTTGAGAGAATAGACGAAAAGAAATTGGTAAAATGTTTGTAATTCTGCAGCCTAGTGATGAGTTGGTTTACCACTCTACTGTATACATTTGAGAACTTCCATATATAAAAATTTTAAAAGAACCAGATACACTGAGAAGGAAAAAGCAAGAATATTTAGTGATTAAGGGCCATACCTGTGACCCAAAAAGATTTGATGCATGATAATGACATTTCAGAGAATTTGTTTAATACACTGAGCAGGATCACTTGGTTAACTATTAGAAATCATGCTGTTTAACAGTTAAATGCAAAAAATTAAATCAGAATCACCTAGAAAAGAATTATTTTCTTTTGAGGAATGGCATTAAAAGCATAAAAAAGTAGAAAGCATCAAAAAGGGAAAATTAATTGATATTACTTTATTAATATATTTATATATCAAACTGATAAAAATGGCAAATTAGGGTAAATGCTCATAACAAAAATGACAGATCTATTAATAACAAAATTGAAAATTATACAAGGTAGTAAGAAAACACTAAATTTAAATATCAGTGGAAAAATGACAAAGTTTTAAAAAAAACAGTGAAAAAGAAAGTAATAAACCTCTAAAAAATTGTAGCTCATAAACAGCTGAATCTAAAATGCCTCTTCAAACTAGCAAAGTTTTAAAAAGAGCTAATATTTAATAGCATCAAGGACACAATGAAATGGGCACCCACAGATGTCAGGATAAATTTTTACAAATTTCTTCTGGAAATTGCTTCTGGAAAGCACTTAGTATATACCAAGAGCTTTTTAGGAGTGTATAATTTTTGGCTACTTTTATTAATTTAACTCAAGGAAAAGTTAGCAATATGATCAGCTGATTAGATTCAGGATCTTTATCACACAGGTCATTGATATGAGATAAATTAAAAAATTGCAAAATATGAATTAAATTGATTTGCCTTTAGAGTAAAATCTTAAGTAGGTATTAAAATCGTGTTTTACAGACCATGTAATTATCTGGGGGAGTTGCTCTGGGTAGGAAAAATCAGTGTGACCCCAGTTCTATGCTGTATATATAGGCCAGGTGGTGGAGCAGGTCAAAATGGTAGGTGCTTGTGGTTGTCAAGGTAACTCTTACTGAGGAGACCTGAGGTGAGCACCTGTTCAGTCAGGCATCTCTGCTTTCCAATTGAAAAATGTTCAGAAGAGAAAGCAAAAGCAAATTTTACAATTGTAAAAGTATTAATTCTAAGACTGGACTTTCTGGCATTCATTTAAGAGTGACAATATTGGGCTGTGGATTTAGCTTGCAACGATGAGCACCTGTTCAGTCAGGCATCTCTGCTTTCCAATTGAAAAATGTTCAGAAGAGAAAGCAAAACAAATTTTACAATTGTAAAAGTATTAATTCTAAGACTGAACTTTCTGGCATTCATTTAAGAGTGACAATATTGGGCTGTGGATTTAGCTTGCAAGGACCTGAGTTCGATCCCCTGTACTTAAAAAAAAAGAGTGGCAATATTAATCATAAAGCAAGCTAAAAAGTTCAGTATACAGTGAACTTTTTTTTTATGGTGCTTGGGATAGAACCCAGGGTCTTCACAGTAAGCTGTATCCCAGCCACTTTTTAATTTTTTCTTTTGACAAAGGCTCACTGAGTTGCCCAGGTTAGGCATCAAATTGTGCTTCTCCTGCCTCGGCCTCCCAAGGCACTAGGATTACAGGCATGTATTGCCATGCTTGGCTTTTAGTACTTTTTCTTTTCCTAAATATGGCAAAGTAAAGGAGATGATATGAAGACCAAGGGGGAAATATGAATTCAAATAAAGTAGAAATTAGTAAAATCCACAGAGGAACAGGACCCTTGGGTATCATGTTATAATCTGTGTCTCAAATACAATTCAGTAAATTTCTCTAGGCTTCTGAATCTTGTAACGTGTGATACTAACTAAAAGAAAAATGTTATGTTTTCCTGTGTTTGGGATTTTTTTTGTTTTTGTTTTTTTTTGGTACTGGGGATCGAACTTAGGACTTTGCGCTTGTGAGGCAGGCAGCAGAACCACTGAGCTAAATCCTCGGCTTATGTTTTCCTTTTGAGATAGGCAGTTTTTCAAAACTTCAATCTTAATTTAAACACTTTAATTTTTCAGGAAAATTTGTGTAGCCAAAGAGGTTTGGTACCCAACACAGATGGTCAGACTTTTCAGATTGCAATTTCCAGCCAGATGAGACAGCATTATGACAGGATTCATGAGACGCTCACAAGGGTTTGTATGAAGTACAGTTCAGGGGGACTTTGCCAGTGTTTAACATTATTTAAATGCCAAGAACACAAACGTGTTGTATTGATTCACTTATCTTTTTTATATTAGAAAAATGGCCCTGCTAGACTATTGAGTTCATCTGCAAGTACTTTTGAACAGAGTATAAAAGCATATCATGCGATGAATAAATTTCTTGGTTCTTTCATCGATCATGTACGTATAGCAACATTTATATTTAACCCAGGGTCAAACACAGTTTTTAAAAAGAGATGGAAGTGTCAGTTTAATATTTATTCACCCAAGTCAATGGACTGCTCCCGTTCCCTTTTGTCTGTCAGATTTAATGCTTAGAAATGGTAGTTTTGGAAAGGTCTTTGTAGATATTAACAAATATGTTTTAGGATAAAGTAAGGTTATGTCCAAGAAAAATGAGATTTTTATGTGTCTCTTAAGAAATGATGATTCCTTTGAAATGTGTCTGTACTAGAATTTTGTTAGCAAAATATTACTGTATTGCTCACTATTGAAATTCTTATGATTATATTCCTGAAAAGTATGTTATAAATTAGTTTTTAGTATATCTAGCCCTAAATCCTATTGGCATTTAAAATTTAAAACATTCATAATGAAAATTTTGTTATAAATCATAATATAGTAAACTTATTGTGCAGATTTTCCTTGTGTTCTATTTATTTTTCATTGTCCCTTCTTCTGACTTTTGCATTATTTGGAAAGCATTTGTTTTGCTATTTTTATATGACTGTCTTTTTATGTTAGGTTCATAAGGAAATGGATTACATTATAAAAGATAAATTGCTTCTTGAAAGAATTCTTGGGATGGAATTCATGGAACCAATGGAAAAAAGCATCTTTTACAATGGTATATTTCAAATCTCTTTGCTGAATTTTATTATTATTTTCAAAGTTTTGGGGAAAAAGTACTTACAACTGATTTTTCCTTTTTAAAAATAATTTTTGTATAAAACAAAGGAACTATAATGAACTCAATCTCAGAACTGTAATAGTTTTGTTTTATTTTATTATGTTGTGCAGCAAAAACCAAATATATAAAAGATTCTAGAAGAAAGTAAAAAGCTGAATTTCAGAATCAACAGTACACATCGAAGAGAATAAAATAAATTTTTATTGGAATATTAATGTAGTGCCAAACTCAGGAAACATTTAAAGAATAACAAGTGATTAATCTTTGACACTGATTTTTTATCTTGTCCAAGTTCTTCAAAGTCACTGATATTTTGACAGAAATAGTGAGTAGAGTAGGTTGTTTAATCATTAAAAAGGTAACATCAGTGTCACTTGCAGTGTGATGATAACCTGTTGCAGGGATGGTAAGGATGAAAATGGCATAACCAGCGTCCTGGCACAGATACCATTTACCCACGTGCGTTACCTGCCAGCTGTTGACCAGCGGTCCCTCCCTTGCTCTCATGTTAGGTGGATGACGGAAGATAAGGCAGGCGAGTGAATAAGCAGCATGCAGGGATAGAAGTCTGTGCCAGCACAAGTAACACCAGGGACAGAAGGACACCAAAAACCTGCCAAAAGGTGACGTGGCAAAATTGGAACAGGGTACTTAAAAATAAGTACCTCCTTGCCAAACAAGAGGGTTAAGGGAAGAAAGAGAGGCAAACACATTGATGCAGAAAATGAACAGAGATTCAGAAACTGCACCGAGTGCATTCTGTGTTGACGTAGGGTTCGCAGGGTTTGGACAGTGAGGGAGAGAGCCTGAAAGGCGAAGGGCACAGCACCATATCCCACAGGCCTTGTCTGACACAGGAAGTTCAGTTTGCCTTCTTCTGTAGACCTGGCATTTCCAAAAATATGTATTTTTAAAAGTTTTGCCCTATCAGATATGTATAAGTTAATCCGTGAAGGTGTGAGAAGAGAATAACTATCATTCTGTATCAAATACACGATATAAAGAATAATGATTAATAAAGTATATCTACCATGGGAGCGTATCTCAGCATTTCATTCTGATAGAGATACATGGTCAAAACATTTTGAAAGCCACTGCTGCTGAACATGAATATCATTGTGTTATGCTAAGTAGATCTGATTTATAAATTGGATCAATTACTCTGGCAGTATGTTACAGATTGAGTTACAGAGATGAATTTATTCATTAAAGATAAAGCTTTCAGAATCTTCTGGTCTTGTATTCAGAACCTGAGTACCATTTACTAGTTTTGTGCACTCAAGGAAATGGCTTAACCTTTCTGAATTTTAATACCTTTTTCCTAAAATTAGGTCTAACCATCTAAAAGTTTTGTGGGATTAACCATATAGAACCTAGAAGAGTGACAGTGAACCTTATAGAAACAGAGGCCCAAAATGCAGCCCAGAACCCACTTATTTATTGTAAAGTGCCAACACTGCAATTAAACTTGGATTTTGAGGTTTTAGTTTAGAAAAAAGCAGCGCACACATTAACATTTTCTGTCTTAAAAGAAAAACACATAACACCCATGCTATAGGTTCACCACCACTGACCAGACCATTACATGACATGGGTAGGCGCCCAGAGAGATGTTTCTATTTCTAGCAACAGTCATCTTCATTGTACCTTCTTCCCTCATTTTTATCCTTCCTCTTCATTTTGCTTTGTTGTCCCTTCCCCTATCATCCTTCCTCCTCCTGTCTTCTGTCCGTCTTCATCTTCATCAGGAAATGATGAGAGTATGAGCTAAAGCAGCAGGAATGGGGACAAGGAAGAAAGAACTGCCAAAGATGTTAAGGGAAAAAAGAATAGACAAAACCAGGCACGGTGTATGCCTGCGATACAGCCTGCTTGGGAAGATACAGGTTTGAGGCCAGCAGGGACACATTAGTGATACCTCTGTCTCAAACAAAAAGGAGTACACAAAAATTATTTCAAGAGTTTTTCTCTGTGACTAAGTGGTCGTGCTGGTGCTGTTCTCTAAGTCAAAGAATGCAGAGGGAGGAAGAGGTTTTGATGGAAAAAGAATGAGGTCAGTTTGACTGTGTTGTGTCTTGAGATACTTTCGGGACTTTTAGGAAGTGATATCTAGTAAGGCATTAAATACAAGGGACCAGATCTGGGGAGAAAGTAAAGGCACACAAAAACTAGGAGTTCTATCATATAATATTATCGCTGGAGCAGTATTAGTTGATGATCACCCAGGGAAAACATGTAAAACAGGTTTATTTTCTTTACATGTACACATGTAATATACATGAAGAAGTACAGATTCTTAAGGATACAGCTGACAAATGAGTGACCTTTACCAAATGAGTATGTCTCTGTACCTATCATCCTGCCATAGAATATTGCCAACACCCAGACGCCCCCTCAGATAAAACAGATCCTCATGGGTCTCCGTGGTGGCATTGGTAGTTCTCTGGACCCACCATAAATGTGCTGTATGATTTTCATGGGTATACTTCCCCCTCACAGGGGAAGGTCTCTAGTGTTCAACAGATCTTTTTTAAAGGTTGTTCACCTCCCAAAAAGTACAAAACCCACTTGCTGAGTGAGAAATAGTCTTGGAGCAAAATATTAAGAGACCATTTGAGTCAGAAGTCCTGGAATACTATGTACTATCCTATGCCTTGCTGGGGTTTGTTGTTGTTGTTTGGGGGTTTTTTTGGTTTTTGGTTTTTTGGTTTTTTTTGTACTGGGCATCAGACTCAGGACCTTGATTTTATAAAGCAGGAATGGCACCACTGAGCTAAATTCCTGGCTTTTTTTAAAAAATTTTTTTAATTACTCTTCCTACAAAATCTTAAAGATTAATTTAGCCTTTAGTTATATAAAGAAATAGAGAAAAAATATTCATTAACTGGTCTTTGAAATATGTATATTTATTCTATTAGCAAATACGAATCTTTAGTTTTAATATTAAAACTATGTCTTGTGAGTTTTTTGACTTTGACTAGCCACTTAGGGTTAGCAAATCTATGTTATCTTTTGCTTATTTTTTGTATACATCATAAAATAGTGTATGTAGTACTAATTTTTAATATGCTTTTTTTTTGGGTTTTGGTTTTTGTTTTTTGGTTTTTTGACATAGGGTCTCACTATGTAGTTGAGACTGACCTGGAACTCACTATGTAGCCCAGGCTGGTCTCGAACTCCCAGTGATTCTCCTGCCTCAGCCTCCCAAGTGCTGGGATTATAGGTGTGTGCCACCACGCCTGGCTCTAATATGCTATTTTTAAATACCTAAATTTTATTGCCAGAAATGTATCACAGATCTGTTCCATTTTTTGCATTTTTAACATCTCCTGTAAAATGTTTTTAACAGATGAAAGTTACTCTTTCAGCCGTATGCTGTATTATGGAAATGAAGCCACTCTTCTTATTTTCGACCTGTTGTTCTTCTGTGTTGTGGATTTGGCTTGCCAGAACTTTATTTTAGCAGCCTTCCTGACATACCTACAACAAGAGGTAAATTTAATTTTTTTTCTGAGTTTCTTTTGAAAGAAATATATTGGGAGTAGATATTTTCATAGCAGAGAGTAATTAATATCTACTTACAGTAGGGATTTATAAATGTTTAGAATACGACCAACTCTACAAAAAATGAAAAAGGAGGAGTAACAGAAACTGAACACATTCTGCACTCTGTCCCTAGGGTCAGTGACAGATATACTACCATCTAGCAGAGGGCATAAATTGCTTGAGCAAATGTGAAAGAAATCTGGTAGGAAGATGCCTGTCTCCTAGATACCAAAATGAAGCAGTAATTTAAGAATCATTCATAACAAAAACAGCAGTCACTGGAGATTTAGTTCAAGGGTCAGCCCCAGAAGCCTTTTAGCTTGTGACTCTCACACACCTTTGCTAGTATGAATAACAACTGGGGGTGATATCTCTGAAGTGGAGATTCCGAGAAATGGCCAATCCATGCTTCTTGCAATGCTGTGATATCTTCTGTCAAAGAAGTATACAAGTCAGTAAGCTGTAATTTATTAGGTCTTGTTAGAGACTTACAGTTATGAACAAATTCTGTCCCTACCAAGTAGATTCTTTTGACCTTTCCATAGCTTTTAGAGTTATAAAAGAATTGCCTCTTCTAATATTTAAGTGTATTCCTGTGAGCGTGAGATTGGTGTTATTTATAAAAGCATTGTAAATAGGAAGATACATTGCTTTAATATTATGAAACATGAAAACAGTCTTGAAAAAATTCTGTGTATCACCATAGGATTTAGATGCCTGCTACATAAAAATAGTTGAGAGGTTTAGCTAATTTAATTTAGATATTTTAATTGATGTGCATATTTAATTTGCTCTATATTTCATTTCAATCTCAATTATTTTAATTTTTCAGATTTTTAGATTTATCCGTAATACAGTAGGACAAAAGAATTTGGCAAGCAAAACACTGGTGGATCAAAGATTTCTGATTTAACTTATTGATTAGTTAATTTAAGGACTCTAAATAGTCATGGCAAAAAGGTCATGATACAGGTTTGCCATATTTTTAAAAACTTGTAATACAAATCTCTTTTAACTAGCAGATAATTTTATTTTTATAACTTGTGAAAATATGTGATATAGTGGAAAATATCATTTTCCCATGATGTGTCTTTCTTAATTCACTAATAAACTAACACTGATGACCTAGAAAAATATCTAAATGTTCCTTCAGGTCCTTGCGCTTGCAAGGCAGGCGGCGGAATCACTGAGCTAAATACCTGGCCCCAACAAAACATTTTTTAATGATAATCAAAATAAATCATTTGTCTCTGTGGGTCATTTAATAAACTGTCATATGCCTACACTTTTTCACATTAATTTCAAATTTATTCCAAGTTCAAGACTAGTTTTCAGTTTAGTGTATGTTTTATTTATATTTTAATTAAATTTGAAAAATTATTTCATATTTTCTTAGAAGTTACTAATTGCATTATTTCTGACACGGTTTACCTTGCTGTAATTACTTACCCTGTTTGGCAGTGGACTAATTCACTGTTAGACCTCTGAAGTGGTGCCATTGTATTCTTTCATGCACCTGACCTGTATCATGGCATCACTCACTACACTTTTGAGGGAGTGTTGACATCTCTAACATGGTTTACATTTATTATGTTACAGTGTGTGACATTCCTCCCACTGTAGTTTTTTTACATTTTAATTACTTAATATTTTTGCTTGTAAACTATTTTTTCTATTATGTTTAGAGATTGCAAATAACAGTGTAAATTTATCATACTCTGTTGATGGGATTTATTGGAAGCAAACTTTGGCTTCATAAATCAGCAAGGATTTCTTTTTTTATAGTATATGTTTGCAATTCGTAATAGTTTTATTCATTGTGGAAAATTAGTATATATGTATACCTCATATCTTGATCATTTTTGATCACTCCCTTTTTGCTCAACCTTCCTTTCTTTCCCCTTTTCTGATCCTCTTCCCGTCTTCAAAAAGACTGCTCCCCTGTGTCCTATTATCTCTCTATTACTTTATTTTTAATTTGTTTGCACTTTGGATTTTCATTATAAGAGAAACCATCCAATGTTTCACTTTCTGTGCCTGCCTTTTTTCGTTTAACATTGTGGTCTGAGATCCATTCACATGATTTCATTCTTTTTTATGTCTGATTAATATTCTATTGTGTATGTATACTACATTTTTTATCCACTCATCTGTTGATGGGAATCTATTTAAAATAAGTAGCAAAATTTGGATTCACAATATTAAAGGAAATTCAGAGCTATGTAGTAATAACTCTGTATTTTTTCCATCAACATACTCTTTAATAATAATTATTTTTCATGCTATCATGTCCTTGAAAGGCCCTCATATTTCAAATATAATGATTCTTAACTCCCAAACCAACATTTTTTTTGTACTGGGGATTGAACTCAGGAACTTGCACTTACTTGTAAATCAGGCTCGGTACCACTGAGCTAAATCCCTGGATCTTACTGCTTTTTATATTGATGCTGTGTAAGTAAATAAATATAATGCTATGTAAATATTGTTCATATTTCCCAACTGAAAATATATAATAAAACATTTGATGTTTCTGTTTCCTGTTTGTTGAATGTATATCATGAACTAGCACTCAATATAGCACAATCGGGGTAGGGTTTTCAGTCATTGTCAAAAATGTGCCTTTCACTTTTTGCTGAATCTTGAGTTCACCTAAGGAGAAAGGGGGAGGCTAGTAAGTTGAGTCTTTGAAACTCCACTTTCTAAAAGGTCACAGTAAAGCACTGTCTTATAAAAGCTGTAGGGATATATAAAAATACTGACACAGATTTTTAAAACTACCCACTCAGAAGAATGTGAAAGAAATACAGCCTTCATTCCACATATGAGAAGTTACTACTGGTGATAAATTTCAAAATACAGGATCAGTTGGCTCACCAATAAGTTAAAACAGAGAAAAAATTTAAAAATCATTCTAATTTTATGCAGTGTAACTTTTTATTTTGATTAGATACATAACTTCAGATTTTCAAACACTGACTCATTTGTTCATGCTGCTGAATAAAATTCTATAATCACTATACACAGTTTTCCACTGGGTCCCCTACTTTTGTCTGTTTCTGAAACACCTATCCCTAAGTTGCTTGGTAACTTAGAAGCATTTCCTATATTTTGCCATCATTTCATAATGAAACAAATCCTAGAGAGGTTCTTCAAGGTGCTTTGTAGTTTGTATCCTCCGAAACACAGGCTGGTGCCCCCCATGTCTGCGGACAAGTGTGTTACGAGAGACTGGCATCTTGCTTGTCTGGCACTGTGGTCCTGACTGTCTTTGGAGAAGGCTGAGCTGGCTCCTCCTGTGCAGGAGCATTCACAGTGATCGTCAGCTCAGTACTTGCAAGCTTGTAGCTTGGGCTGGGGAGTGAGTACCTCATGCCTGTTGGGTAGGTGCTGTGCCACTGAACCACATCAGCCCAGCATGTATCCTTGTTTGGAAATAATGACCAGCAGAAGTTGACAGGAAGTAAATATGTGGAAGAGCAGCAAGCTTAATAGAAAATTATCAGATTTAGTAACAGAAGCCCAGAGTTTTTACCCCTATGAGGAGCTTTGGGACTGTAAACTAGGTTATTTGGCATCGTAGAGTTTCATTCTGTGTCTCCACATTGGATAAAACACCCTCTGATTACCACTTGGGGCATTGTAAGGATTAGATTCTGCAATATGCTTTCACCAGGAGGCTGAGGATGTAGCTCAGTGGTACAGTGGTTGCCCAGCATGTTTGAGGGTTCAGTCTTCAGCTCCACCAAACATTAAAAAATTTAAAAATGCCTTTAACAGTGATCAAACTATGAACACTGAAATTCTTTAAAAATTTTTATCTTCAAATGTCTGCCTCAAAATATGTTTTCTACCGTGCTAGTAAATAAATGCCATAGCATTAAAACTCAAGATAACTGATCCCAATAACCAATGCAAATTCTTCTCTTTTGCTTACCCAAAAAGGCCCTGGTAGAGGTGACAGCCACAGATGAAGGGTGGCAAAATGATATAGTCTGACAGAAACCACCATAGGGACGGGGGACAGACAACTCCTGAGCGCTTAAGCTGTTACTCATTAAACACACAATTTGTGTTTTCTTCTGAGGTAGTCAGCAATTGAAAAGTGGTTTTTACTAAAAACCAACTCTGTTTTGGCCTACAAATGCCCAGTGGTAACCAAAAACAACAAAACGATCTTAATTTTGTGAAATTCTGGATCAAATCCTTAGCTCAGCACACAAGCATTTTAGTCATGTACAGAGTGCCTAAAACATGGCAAAACAAGATCTATTAGTCCCAAATCTTACCCAGCCTATCTCACTACCCTTTAAGATGGAGGACACTAGAATAAGAGATTTATAGGGACATTTAGCTACACCTGTGATCTCTGTTTCCCTAAACCTGAGGTCTCCTTGGATGCTAACAGAGCCTCACATGATTGAGATTGCTCCTCAGACCACAGGACTCCTCACGTAGAAACTGCCTTGCCCCTCCACTCATGAGGTTTCAGCCTGAATTAGGAAATGGCCAAAAATGATCAACCAAATCCTGGCCCATCTCAGGTAACCCTTGAAAGCTGGCTTGCTGTTGTAGGTGGGCCAGTTGGATCCTCTTCCTCGGTGTACTCTCTCCATTTACCCCCAAGCTAGAGACCTTCCTTACCTTCCAGTTAGAGTTTTTCCTGCAAGTTCTTGCTTTAGTTTTAATTTCCATTATTAAAGCAAGAAGCCACACTAAGTGGTGATGAAGGCGTTCCCACCCCAGGTTGGAAGAGAGGGTTTCTTACATTTGCTCATTTGTTCGTTCATTCAAACAATGTCTCTACCTCTTTGCTAGGCAGGGTCTTTATGATTATGGTAAACAGGAATATTAACAAACTTTAAGTGAAGAGCTGCGGGTGAATAGGAGGAACACTCAACTGTAGTTGGGCCATTAGAACTTTCACTGCAGAGAAGTGCTATTTG